TTACCAATTACCATAGTTACCTCAGTTATTTTAAATACTATCGGTTACCATATTGATCTCCGTTCTTTTAATACCATCGGTTAACATAATAAGCTCAGTTATTTTAAATACTATCGGTTACCATAATAAGCTCAGTTAATTTTTAAAAATACTATCGGTTACCATAATAAGCTCAGTTAATTTTTAAAAATACTATCGGTTACCATCTCAGTTATTTTAAATACTATTGGTTACCATCACAGTGAGCTCAATTACTTTAGATACTATCAGTTAACATAGTGAGCTCAATTATTTTAATACCATCGGTTACCATAATAAGCTTAATTATTGTAAATACTATCGGTTATCATAGTGAGCTCAATTATTGTTATATGGGTTACCATAGTGAGCTCAGTTATTGGTTACCTTGGTGAGCTTAGTTAATTTAAATACTATCGGTTACCATGGTGAGCTCAGTTGCTTTAAATACTACCGGTTACCATAGTGAGCTCAATAATTGTAAATACTATCGGTTACCATGGCGAACTGAGTCTTAAAACCACAATTATAATATAAAATCGAACGCAGATCAAGTTTGTCGAATATTGACCAATCATAACATATATCATTGGGAAGGTTCCAATTCTAGGGCGCCATCCACAATCACACCCCACAAATTTATGTCATATAATATGATGATTGTTATTGATTTTGTGAACGGGGCAGTGGCTATAACATTGAGCAACCTGGGAAAATTTTGAAAAATTAAATCAATATCCTGGCATTTAAGATATTAGTCAATGGAACAGAATCTCGAAATCTGTCCATGTCAATTGCGCTTGTTTTGCAAGAGTTGTCAGAATATTTGTACAGTCTGACGCCCCACGATCCACGCACCAGCGGTACTACTAACTGGACAGTTCACTATAACCGTGAATATGATAGTGCTGAGGCAGTATAAGACCACAGAGAAGTGGAAGAATGATGCCATAATGGAATCTAGCGGAGCAGGCGCGACAAAATTTCAGGAGGTAACTGACTTTTCAATTTTTGGGGACTGGATCTGAAAAATATTAGTCAATGTCATGACAAATGGGATCAAATTCTCCTTAACGAGAGGATAAGAAATGGGACAGAATCTTGAGGCCCGTCCGTCAATTTTGCCTGTTTTGTGAGAGCAGAAATAACAATTCTAGTCTTTCGCCCCACTCACTAATGGCACTACTAACTGGGTGATTCACTGTAACTGGGAATATGACAGTAATGAGATTTATAAGACAGAGGAGTTAAAGAATAATGACATAATATATAGAATTGAGCGCTATAGGCGCGAATCAATTTTAGATTATTATGTAACTGAGCTTTTAATTTTTTGAGACTGGGCCTGAGGGGACTTTGTCTCACGGGGGCGCTTACTTGGTCTCTGAAATGCCATTTACTTGACTTTGGGGCCTGGGAAATGGTTTTGCAGAATTCTGATGGTCAGAAAATACTTACATGAGTAAAATACGTTTCAATTTCTACTGGGATCAAATATGCAACAAGTCAAAATTCTTAAGTAAAAAAGATGCCTTAACATTTCATAATTTAAAGATTTTTTACGTATTTCTGAAACAAACTATGCTTCCGATAACTTCTTACCAACTGTTCGACTAATCTTATTCGTATGACAATCAATAATATAATTTAAGTTATCAAGCTCTCAATTTCTTAGACCAACATACTCATAACAGGGATTTGTTTCCAAACATTACAAGTTGACTAGGTTATTTTTTTTACTATACCGTTGCAATTTAGGTGCACAGATTCACACAGAATTTTTCCCTTCTATTTTGGCATTGTTTACCTCATTAATTCATTTAGTCTGAGTATTTATTTTGAGACCGACTATGTGACTTAAGTATTGGAGATTTTTCCCTTCTATTCTGGCATTGTTTGTTTACCTCATTAATTCATTTCGTCAGTCGCCGATGCATAATTGTGAGACCGACTATTTTTCTCCCGGCGGGAATTTTTTTCTTAGACCGGCTCGCAACAGAATAAGTTGACAAGGTTATTTTATACTAAAGTTTTGGGTGATTTGCATGTGTAATTTAGGTGCACGGATTTACAAAATACATACAAATTTGGGATTTTGGCTTTGTTTGTTTACCTCATTAACTCAGTGAGCACTTATTTTGAGATCGACTGCACATATTTTGCGACCGACTATTTTTTTCGCTGGGGGGGGGGGGGAAACATCCACCCACACACACCCCACATTTACGACCCTGGGTGACAGTTCCCTGTGCCAGTTCAGCGATCAATTCGACAATGGGGTGTTCTGGAGTCAAAAGTTCTTACCGCGTGACCACCTAGGTCTGCTATCTCTTATACAAATTCCATTCATCGAACCAGTTATCAGTTTGGACAGACGTGTTATAAATGTTTATAGATAGAAACCTGTTCCTTTGTATATGTATATATAGACAGACGGGGCAGACGTGATCTGGTTTTTATCAATCACAAACCATGGTAACAAATCAGTCACGGAATTAAATTCCATCACGTAGGACGGATGCCAATACGAACGCCTGCATGCACCTTAGAGTATTGTAATTGTTGACACGTGTACACACACATATACTGTGTTTGTGTGATGCAATAAATGTTACCGATATATCGTACTTCATGACGTAGTTATTGTTGATGTGCCTAATTTAGATCTACTAGTGTGGGAGTTCTTTAAAAACACATCCCGTAGTAAAGTTAACAATGTACGCTAAAGACACTCCAAATAGGTAGCTGCTGTGGCAAACCCCAATCGAGATGGTTATAATACCACGAGACCTGGATGGGCGTGGCATTGGTTCACCAACCAGGAAATATCCGAGTTTTCCAGCCTGATTTCTGGTTCTCAGTGGTGTATGACGGTGGGAGGGGGTGGGGGGCAATGGGACAAGTCCAGTTGATTGGGAGGTCTCCCAAAACCTTTGGTAGAATACTTATAAAGGATGCCCTAGCAGTTGGAAATCGTAATAACATTAGGTCGTAGAGCCATTGTTAGGGCAAACTCTGCCTTATAACCCAATGCATGGCGTATGCGCAGAAGTAAGACGTAAAACTCATTTCATTTCGCATCGTGAGTGGATAGTCGCTACGACTTTAAAGTTCACCACGCGTGACTGAAAGGAAGAAAATAATCGGCAGTCATCGTGACATTGTAACTGCATCTTTATTGGCCTAATGAATTATTCTCTACACTGCCATATTATAAAAGGACCACGTGTTCGATTGTTTGTCTTATAAATAATTTGTTTAATAGATCTACAGCGATTGATATGTGATCAGAGTAAATTTATTGAACGATTACAGGAAGATGGCTGAATTAGAATAAATGATCTGCACCGACTGGGTTGATGAAGACGGGGATACACCAAACAGTGTGCTATGAGGGAAATTTTGCCCGTATAGTGGCATTACGTTCTACTATCATTTCGAATTCCAACTATCAATAGTTCTTTTACGTGCACACCATTTATAGAGGGTGGGCCTTTAAACATCCAGGATGGAGTAAAAGAGATTTATAATAGGGAGTGCGCCTTTAATGTAATAAATGAAATGGGGTTTAACGTCTTGCTGTTCTGCTCCTATTGGGCTAATGAGGGAAATTTTGCCCGGACAACGGCGCTACGGCCTAACCTTATATCAAATTCCAGCCAGGCCCGTAACTAGGGTTCCCCCCCCCCCCTCCCCTGCAAACAGTTACACCCGCCACTCCCCCAGTGAAAAAATTGTCGACCATAAAAACAAAAGATATACATTGTCCCCCCCCCCCCTCGTTGCTCTGAGCTAGTTACGGCCCTGATTCTAACTGTCAAGGAATCGTTTACGTGCACGTCAATGTGCTAATGGGACACCGTTTTTTCGCCCCGCCCGAACGGCTATACGTGGTCCCTTGTCAGGCCCATGATCCTGCACCATTAACAAGGAGGAACCACACCAGAAACCCGATGAACTTTCTCACCCAACGCAGGGATCGAACAAAGGACGTCCAGGTTAGCGAGATAACGTGTTACTCATTGAGCCACGGTTGCTCCCTTTAATGTAATAAACAACACTATAGAGATTTATAGGGAGTGTGCCTTTAATGCAATAAACAAGCAGCATGAAATAAAGGAGATTCATTATCTGTTTAAACACACTAGTCATATTATGGTGGTCGATATGTAAACAGTCAGTCTGACTCTAATTCTGTTTTATACCAAGACTTATGTAATACAGACTGAATTATCGCGACTAACAAAAGGTCGTGTTTTTTTTCGATCAACAGGACAGCTGTCGTCTGCTTCTTGTTTCCTGTAAAAAGAATAAATATAATAAACAAGTTAATTTTAGGAATTTATCTTTCAGTCGGTGTCGTTCGACCCCTGAAAGACAGGTCCAACCTTTCGCTTCGGTTAGCTGTACGTAATGACAGGGGTCGTGCTGGTGTATGGAATGTTTACTCCTTCTACTAAATCACTTGTTAACACATCTCATTTCACATGGATACAGTTGCCCAGCAACGGGCAAATATACTTTTGGTACCGTATAACTCCGGCAAATTTTACTAAATTTTGTCAAATCCCACAAGGGTTGAAAAAGACAATAAAATGAAATATACGTAATAATTATACCGAAAAAATTTAAAACAAAATTTTATTGTCCGGCGGGGGGGGGGGGGGGGGGTCTTATGCCCTCTGCTCTACTATCTATACTAAACCACTGCTTAGCTAATAAATGTCTGTGGTTTATTTCTAATTTTTAAAATAAAACTCATCAGAATAAAATATATATTAATTCCTACGCCTCGCCTCCCTAATCCATTTTGGCACACGCGCCCAAACCTGAACATATCAATGACTTTATCTATATCAAATCAAATCAAATCAATAATATCTAGATATCGATACGTCTATTTATTTAGACAAGATAATCGCGACTTATATCATTTACGTATCGATCAACAGTTTCAAAATAGTCTCGCATTACAGTCTAATCGCATAGATTTATAACTAATAGCTGAAGAAATGCACGTACGCCACACCACACGTCGTTGATTTTAGAATTATTATCAACGTCTGAATGAAGTTCCCCTTTTCCAATAACCTTGACGAAGGTCAATTGACTCGTCATATTGCTTGTGGCTTACTATACTAGTCTTGAACAGGCTACGTGCAAATGCGAGCGTATTTTTCTATATCTTTACGTATGAACCATAACGGAAGAAGTAGTTCCCCTTTATCTATATAAATAAATTATTGCGCAGCTACTCTCGAACAGGACATAATTACTTCTGGTAAGTCCCAAAATTTTATTTTATATCATCCAGGCATTTAACAATAATATTTATAGCTTATAAATCATCTGTTTGAAAATAAAAATAAAGATACGAGAACGAAGTTTATTATTATAATCCCCTTCAAAAATAAATAAATGTTCATTGTTTTATTTCATTAATCCAGTAGAAATTTATAATGGTTTTCAAATTATGTCCGGAATTATAACATGGCGATCTATATAATTCTTATTCAAGATGTTGTTTTTTTTAGTAAGACGGAAATTAAATTCATTTTAATTAATTAAAATACGCTACACAAAATGTGTGCGGGTGGTAACATATGTTATTTTTACGATCTTCGAATGAAATTTTGCCAAGGCAGTGGCATTCATCGATATTGTTTTATTGGATCAGTACTGCACGTTTGAAACAGATTGTAATACGACATATTGTGATTACTATAAATATAAAAACAATATATCTATACGATGTAACAGTGTAGGCCTATTATTCTCGAACATTCGTCTTATACTTGATGGCGATTCAGACCAGAAACTTCTAGAAATATACACTAAATGAATTAATCAATAAAACAAGTTAAAGAGTGGTGGGCGTTATGGCTTTAATGTTCCTGGAGTTATTTCATTTTACAGTTATGAAAACAAAGATAACTTGTGTAAAGATGTAAAATTAAACATGCATTATGCAAGAGCAAAATCTGCTTATTACAAGTCTTTCTTTAGGCCTGAAATGTCATCTAAATTATCAATTAGACATTAATTAACTTATCCAGACCATAATAAACTCTCGATGTCAAGGCTAGCCTTCGATGTTGGCTGGATTAGATTCCTATATGCCGCCAACGGCCGTTGATAATTAAATCAAGAAAAGTGGATAATCGAGACTTGCTGTTTATATTAATGATTTTAGTAATGATGACCGAGACTATGCCAAAATTTCACGAGCTTCTTTCTCGGCTCATGGTGGACCCATTTGACTGAAATTTTCAGCAAATTACCTTTACACTATTTAGTTTTTAACTATTATAGCGAGAACTGCCATCTCGTTATCTTATCTCCCATAATGTATCTTTAATATACATGTATTGAAAATTTCATTCAAATTACTTAATTCTGGGCGACGTTATCACTGTTTGAAGTTGTGACTTAGATTGTTTATTATCGCAGCAACGTCACTTGTTAATCGAGATTCAGCCTCACGTCTCCATTTTTAAAATAAATCATTAAATGGAGATCGTATTTTTATCTGTTTACATCTGCGCCATTCGATGACCTAGAGAGTTGAGTATTGGCTTGTCTTGTTAATAAAATTTAAAGTCTAAATACTAATTTAATTTATATATCATTCGAAGCCAAAATAAAACCCTGTGATAGGCAGATTTAGCTCTTACAAAATGCATCTTCAATGAAAAAGAAGAATTTATACTCTTGGTAATTTATTATACGATAACCTCCAAATGCCATTTAATAATTGGGAAACACATTAAAGGCTCAATACCACTCTTGTTGTAACTGAATAATATGTCCTAATCTATATTCTGGTCAACAAATTGTACTATTTTACAATATTCCAATTAATTGATGATACAAATTTCATCTTAACACACCTAATTTAAAAAATTTGAAAAATTCAACTAAATGATTTGAAATGCCTGACGTAAAGCTTTTCAAATGTGACTTGGATTCAAAAATATTTTTGAATCCTTTGGACAAGTAACATAGGATTTACTGGATAATTTACACAACAGGTAGGACACTAACACATCTAGTACTTAGAATAAGGCTATTTTTTTTATTTTCTGGAGCTGTCAAGCCAGCAAGAGTGTTATTGTCCCTTTAACACAACACAACTTTTGTGGGGAAACAAACTGGTTTTATACTATATTCATTGTATGAATTAATATTAAAGATTAGATAACAAAAAAATTATCTTTTAAATATTACTTTTCTGTGTCATACAGGTGTGCAGTAACGTTTTAGGCCAAGGCCACCTGCACCTTTTGCAGCTACCTCTTCTGAGTAAAAGTAACCAAATACATTATGACGAAAATGGAACTGATTTTGCCAAGATAGCAAAATGTTACATATTCTACTGCTGCATAACTATCCGTAACACAATGTGCTTTTGGTTTTATCAATACATATTAACTTGTAGAAGTTCTGATAAATAAATTCTAAATATTGTTTTTTTTAGATTCCTTTTTCTTTTTCTTTTTTTTTTTTTGTAAGAGCATAGCTTCGTTTTGAATGAATGACTGAATGAATGAATGAATGAGCAAATAAATTAATGATTTTGTTAGCTATTGCAAATAGTTTTCAATCGGTTGGCCGTGTCCATTAAAACAGGTTACTAGGAATAGAATAGAAACCATAATCTGCGTTGTGGGATATTTATAATTGTGTTATATTTTTAGATCTAGTACTTAATTCAACACTTGACTGAGTGTTTTAAAGAGTCACGTGACCAGCTTACTCCGCCACGACCTTGATGTAAAAAGGTTGTGTTATTTGGTTTGTGTTGCAGTTATTCAGGATTTAATCACACCCTTTACAGTTGTGAATATTTAAATAGGACACACAAACGCAGATCCGTCACTGCGCAAAATAAAGTTTAAAAATAGAACGTAGGCTACAAAAGCATACTAGTTATTGCGCAAGATAACGTTTAAACAGTGTGATTTGATAATAAGACTTATTTACCTGCCAAAAGTTTGTTTAAATCCCACGATTAGAGCAGGCAACAGAAACGTCGCTCAATAAAAAGCAGTAATTGAATTCTATAGTGACCTGTATATTGTATTATGCAGTCGAATTAACCCACGTTTATAGATTTTCCTGTGTATATATTGGCGTGCACGTAAAAGGTCCCTTGGCAGTTGGAATTCGATATGAGAGTAGGCCATAGTGTCGCTGCCAGGGTAAAATTTCCCCTCACAGTACAGTGCATGGCGCATGCCCGTCTTCATTGACCCAGTCGAAGCAGAACAATAGAACGTTAAACCCAATTTCATTTCACGTTTATAGAGACAACAGTAATACAATCCGAGAGATGGAGTCAAACGTTTTGGGACTAACAAATTTCTATTTCAATAATTGGCTTGTGCAATGGGGTCTTAAACATTGGGAGGAAACGGAAATGTTAGATATCTTTGTCACGTACAAACGGGTGTCGCGCGCGAAGGCAGGGTATGCTTACATTATTTCTCTAAACAGGTGGTACTAATTTTCAATGGTAACCCGTTTACTTTATAATGTTGCACTAGTAGAGTGCACTTACTTTTGTCTTTGGGTTTACAGAATTTAAGTTCGGTTGCCATTTACGATACGGGGATGGGTGGGAGGAGGCTGGGTTCCAAACTGTGAGTTTAGATCACTATAAGGTCTGTCATTAAGTCAAAAGTTGCACGTGGCATGGAGTAGGATCACGCGCCTTCGTGGGTTCTCTCGATGTACTGAAGACAGCTACGTACGATCGAATTATTGAATTTAAAATGATCAATAATATATAGGTCATGAAATGACCTCATTTGGCTACGTTAAGCTCTCTCACGCCCCCCTCCCCCAATCCCCACCCCACACCCTCCATTAAGATCGGTCGTACTAACTATACATTTGGAATATACGGTGCTATTTGTCATGTCTTGGTTATTGTGTGGGTGGATTTAGAATTACAAAACAATAAATTATTTACGAAGAGGCGTGAACTACTTACTCCTTTGAGACATTTTCATTTTTATTATTTTCTAGAGAAATGCCACCCCACGCATGATAAAACTCTACACTGTATTGTATATTAATCCGGCTCGTGACAATTTAATCAAATTTTACTTATCCAATAACGATTTTTGAAATACATTGTAGATTTCATCTTTATAGTATGTAATTGACTTTAACTGACTTAAATTTAACTGACTTTTGTTTAATTGACTTTCATTTAACTAACTTTAACTGTGTTTGTTAAAGGTCACTTTGGTCTTATTAATCTGTAATGCACTCCATATAGAGATATTAGTATGTATTATAAGTAGGTTGTACATTTAACTAACCAGCACGTGGTCTATTAGGCTGATTAAACACCCATTTGTCAACATGCTTGTTCAAAACACATTTTAGATAAGATAAACTATCACATGTTGGATAAGATAGTAGTAGACAGTAGCGATTGTGGTATGTGTGTGCTGGGGGTTAGAGTGGGGGCTCACAACTGAGGTGCACTCAGTTGATTGTACATCCGATTTCGCGTAGTTGCTAACGAAGACAAACTAATAGTATTAAAGGAGAAGGTGTGTGATCAAATGTCTGAAATTAGTTGATTTGATAGGTAGTCCCCACCCACCCCCAAATCACATACGAATACACACAAACAAAATTTAATTAGGTTAAATAGTTCGTTTGTTGACGATCCAAAGAAGCTGGACGTTTTCATTGAATAAACCACAAAATAATCGTGTGTTGTTTTTTGGGGTTTTTTTGCCTTTTATGTTATATATTTAATTAGATTTTAAAAACCAAAATATGACCTAAATAAAACTAAGCAGGCTAATAATGTAATTATTGTATAATTTCTTTCTAAAAGGGATTAAGTTCATTCAAGGCGATTAGATGTGCATTATATGCATAAACTTGAATTGGACGTCTAATCTCGGGTAAATTGTTATTTTTATATCAGTTTGGTTCAGTATAAAAACATACCCATTTAACAAGAAATTGACTTCCATTTTTTATTTTAATCACCAGTTATCATCATATTGTTTTTCTTAAAAATCTTTTCAGTCATAAAAGAGAAAGTTTTCGTGAATTTCGTGTATTTATTATTTAATTGATAAACGTCTCAGCTACAAGTCCACCAAGTGTATTCAGTTGATCATGTCGACAAATCAGAAGTTCAATGTGAAAACCTTTGGTTTTGGTATGGTAGCTATGAAAAAATTCCCTGAGGTAAGTGGGTTTATTTAATAACTGTTAGAAATTGTCATTTTCTGCGCAGCATAAGCAGAACGATAAGCAATTTGGATGTTCGATGCCAAACTGATCTGCAGTGAATGTTCGCTTGGCTGCCAATATCACCGATAGGGATGAAATCGGTCGAGTTAATTAGAAAATTAAATTCTAAAACCATTTCTTTTAATTATTAGGAAAATAAATAAAAGTGTTTGAAATATTTCATATTTAGTGTAAATGAGTACATAAAATGGTAAGCGGGGGGGGGGGCGTAAAAGGCGCCAATTCTGCCGAGACAGGTTTGTATTATTACGTGTTATGATGCATTATGACGTGACGTCACACGTAGAATTATACAGGACGTGACCTCAAAGGTCAATCATCTTATACAGAGTTAAAAGAAGGCTTTCGCATTACCACTATAGATCAGCAGACTGGATGATGTTTTACAAAAGATAAATGTGCAATTAGTTAATTAATGTCATTCGTCTATTTATTTGGGATCAAGGCGGGGACATCAACCTCACTGTTGGTCTTGTTAGCTTTTGACAACCCAGTCAAAAATGTATTCAAGCTATTGTCATAATGTGTCAACCCAGTCCAAAAATGTGTTCAACTTATTGACATACTGCGTCAACTCCGTCAAATACTTCATTCCAGTCAAAAAAGTGTTCAAGTTATTGACAAACTGTGTCAACCCAGTCAGAAAATATGTTCAGACTACAAATAATGTGTCCAAAATATTGACGTACTATGTCAAGTACCTGTCATACCGTCACCCCTGTCAAGTCAAAAATCGAATAAAATTATTGTATAGCTGATAGATTCTTGAGTTGAGTTATAAAATAAGTTCCTGGAAATGGGTGTCGTGGTTTGACACCGTACCTGGTTTGGTTCAGATTAACATTTTAAGTGAAATGGTGAACATTAAATATAATATAATATTATGTCCTCAAAAGACCCGAATAAATAAATAAATAAATAAGAAATACAACACAGACCCAAAGATATATACTTATAAACAGTTGGAGGTTCGAGAAACTACTAACAGCACCTTTTATCAAATCATGGAATAACAGTAATAAAATTGGTGCCATATGAAACCAGGGAACCAAAGAGATGCGTAACAACCATTCACATGGGACCGAGCCAACCTAGGTACTTTGTCAATCCACGACTATTTTCTTTAAGCATACTTTTCGTCGGTATTGAAACCACATTCCATACAATGGGTTTTAACTGTTTGTTGTTTTTTTTGTGAATTATTTGTCTTGGCTATGTCTTTGATTGTTGAATTTAACGCCAAATAGCAGAGGGATTACAATCTAAAATAGTGGTACAGAAAACAAAGAAATAAAACTATGTTATGTGTTGTTCACACGGATATTTATACATAACCACAAACAGAACACTTTAGCTTTAAAGTACCGTGCCATCTTTACAAATAAAACATTATTCAGGCCTCTGATTACCATACTGTGAAAGTTAAATCTCTAAGTCCATAGATATAATGAATAGAAAATTTCTCGACATTCGGCATAGTCTGCAGGCAATACAAAAAAGCCAGCGCCACCTAAAGTTCTTTGGTACTTTTTTTTTCGGGTTTATCAACAGTTGAAAAGTAGATTTTGTTTTCTTAACCAAAGGTTAAATACATTGTAATCAATTTTGAGTTCATTTTAGCATGGATTAAAGGAGCTAAGTCGCTAATTTTTGGGACCTAGAAAGAAATTAACACAAATGGGTCGCTATAATAATATAATATGAATGTATATAAATTGATTTACATTCAATCGTTTCTGTTATTACTGTAATTTCTAATCGGTTATGTTCGGCGAAATACACCAGAAGTCTCAATCGAATGGCAATCTCTAGCGTCTGGTTATTCCAGTCTACACTGATAGTAATTATTGCGCATGCTCTCCAGATAAGAATATGACGTCACTGTTTGACATGAAATATGGAATATGCCTAGCCTCGTTTTTCTAGTCCCTTATTACAAATGGTGGTGAAACGCATTATGGTAAACGATTCGTGTACCAATGGTAAAAAGTTTATTTTGTCTTAAATATTGGAAATCAAAAGCCCACCTTTTCCCGGTAAGATCACAACATCAATGTTGATTTAAATTGACAAATAATTCGTGTTTTCAATGTCGAAGATTTTGGATGTTTAGATAGCTACTTTAAGCAATGAAAAAAATTACATATTATCCGGGGAATAAAATTGACGATCAGAAGGGGCGGATCCAGGAATGTTTGCAGGAAGGGGAGGATTAGGGGGGTTGCCAGGTTCCTGTTAAGGAAATTTAACAGTTGACAATACACAATGCCATCATTGTCTCCAAATTACGTAGACATACATACTGAGAGAAATCCAACACCCCGCTTAATGTCAATTTTTATAATGAATTAATACGATCACATTGTGATTTAATTCCATTGATGCAAAGCATTAATTGTGATATCACATATGTCTATATCATTATCTAGCGCTTTGAATGCCCATCCCATCCCACCATCTAATGACAAAGTATAAAGCACAAGACCGTGACACTTTTCTCATAAAGTGTTGTTTTAGAAAAAATATGGATTAGTGAGTGACTTTAAGTATTCATTGTAAGACTCTCAAATGTTATTTCGGTAGTTCTTGTAATGGCGTTCATATTTTTCATCCTGTAAAGATACGTTTCTTTAGATAATTTGGGGAACTTTTATTCTATGATTACCCCTGTGCTAGTGACTGTGCTGGTGACAGAGTATGCTTGTTTTTCTTATCACATTTCTCATTTGTTTTGATCACACTTCTCATTCGTAACAGTGGTGCAGGACGGAGGGCCTGACAAGGACAGATGTCTAGTCGTTCGGATCAGACGAAAAACCGAGGTCCCGTGTACACATAGGCATGCGCGTAAAAGATCCATAGGCAGCTGGAATTCGATATAAAAGTAGGCCGGGCAAAATTTCCCCCCATGGCACACCGTATGGCGTATGCCCGTCTTCACTAGCTCAGTCGGGTCAAAACAGTGGGACGTTAAACCCCATTTTATTTTATATGTAATAATTGGGATATAGCTATATCGTACGAAGCAGTTGATGCTATAATGTATACCCATGATAATTATATTATTCAGTGTTCATGGACCATGAAACATGTTCTATATATAGTTACAATATATCTATCATCTCACCAATATATCAAAACAAATCAATATCCCGCTGCTAGCTTTAACCTTCAAATAACCTTGATAGGTCATTGATGATTGTATTACATCTAGAATAATTATTGAACGGGGGGGGGGGGGGGGTCCACGGGTGGTCGATTACTATGGCGGTGGTTCTCTCACAAGGAGGTGGGGAATCACGAATGGTCGATTAGTATGGCGGTGGCTCCCTAACCAGGAGGTTGTGATTCAAGGTAGCTCGATCAGTGTGGAGGTGGTTCTTTAACCAGGGCGGTGTGTGGGGGGGGGGGGGGTCACGGCGACTCGATTGGTTTTACATTGGCTCTCTAATCAAGAGGTGGGGGCTCACCGTGACTCGATTTGTGTGGCAGTGGTTCTCTAACAAGGAGGTGGGGGTTCACGGTGGCTCGACTACTATGGCGGTCGTTCTCTAACCAGGAGGTTGGGGGTCTGCGGTGGCTCGATTAGTATGGCATTGGCTCCCTAACCAGCGGCTCTATTGGTTTGGCAATGGCTCTCTAACCAGGCAGTCCGGGCAAGATCCCAGTGTTAACCAACAAATTTCATTGAGATTTTTCCTGTTTATATGGTTACAGTCGTTCGGGTAGAACGAAAAGCCATGATATCGTGTATACCACCGGCAGAACTGTAGACTACAATAAGGTCAACGTTGTAAGAATATCAGTCCAAAAATAATTCAATAATGTGCAGTATTTACACATTTTCTCAACATTCGGAACTCTACGCACGCGATAAAAACATGCCAGTTCCACCTCGATTTGCTGGGTAAACTGATATTTTGATTTTGTTTTCTTAATTAAAGATTTAATGTAAGATTTAGATAAAGAGCTGACATTGTTCGCTATAATACTTAAACAAAGGATAATGAAAAGGGAATATGTTGAAAATCTCGGTCAAATTACTTCATTTTGAGCGAAGCTATGGCCGCCTGAAGAATAGTGTAGTCTCGACTGTCATTACTACTGCTGTTACGATAATAAACAAAGTCTCGATTATCTATTTTTTAATTAAAGTATTAACTGACGATTGTGTTTAAATCCGTTAAAAATCACAGCCACCCAATGGACTCGAGGGGTTATCATGGGCTTGGCATGTGTATAAATGTCTAATTAATGATTTATATAATATAATATTTGAAACCAAACGCAATATCTGCATTAGGCAGATTTCGCTCTTACATAATGCGTCTTTAAAGGTAAAAAAAAATCTATTTCTGTACAATCAGATTAAAGCGTGAAAATCAAAACGATATTTTCCGAAAAATACAAATGGCGATTAGCGGCTTTCATATCTTTGGTAAAGTTGGTGACCTTGAGAAGATGACGTTTTTACAAAAGGCAATCAATTTGTGAAACGAACGCAGGAATCAAAATCAATAACTTTGTGTTGAAATGTACCAACAGATTCACGTCATTACGAGATTGGCTTCCATTTATTAACTTAAATTTATTGACTGTCAGAATCTGTGTTCCGTCTGTATCATTGAGTAGGCTTGAGACAATTTCACGAGTTCTGATGAAACGAGAGAGAAAATCATTTAACAGATTTGTTTCATCCAGACAGATTTTACATCAAGAGAGTGTAATTCAATTTCGTTAATATTGATCTCGATCTAAAACAGGGTTACATAATATCAAAGACGCGAGAAAAGACGTAAATCAACAAGTTTGTCTTTAATAACCAGGATTTGAGACGTATCAACAGTGTCGTTTTTAGTTAAAGAGAGGTCCTTGGCCATTTAGTAATGCTAAGTTCCCACTATTACGATTCGCACTACGATTGAAATCATGCTTTTAATCGTTCAGTAATCATGGTGATCCTATCAGGTCTTATCATATATTAAGGTCAGTCGTAGCAATCGTGTTGACCGTATCGAAACGTATAAGAACGTATCTACACGTAGCAGATCGTAGACTCAATAAGGACAATCCTATCGTAACGATAGTGGGAACCTATATTAACGAGAGTATATATGTGGTTTACACCAAGAGAGTCCTTAGCTATACGCTATTCGTTTTATGAGCACACACCCCCATCCCCAATGCCCACGACTAGAGGAAGATGGAAATGTGTTTTAAACACAATTGACGATGGCGGGTGTTTAAGATTAAGACTACGGAGTGTATAAGAAAGATTTATGACAGGAGGTCCCCTATGTTGTGAGACCCTAGGCTTCAGACTGACAAGTTTATAGGTAAATCCTACATTTCAAATAAAATACCCCTTTCGTAATATCTTGAACTACAGATATCGTCATTTTCTGGTACTGATTATGTTTAAAACAAATAAGATGGGGTTTAGTGTCTTACTTGTCTGCTCCTATTGACATAATTAAGAGGTCATGCAGTGGACTATGAGATATTAACTGGTCTACTGCGTCCCGAACGACTCTTATTTCGATCCAAACTGTCGATGGGTTCTTTAAAGGACAATATTGGTGCCAGTCATTATCACATATGTGATAGAACTGGTTAAACACGTTCCAAATATAATTTTAACACAGAGATCATTGCTACGATAGATGAGTAATAAACGTTTCAACAATCGTCAAATCAGTCAGTTATATAGAGGGATAACTCATGTTTTTCTTTTGCGTTCGCCATTTATATGAATGTTTAGTTACAGTTGATATCATTGGTATAATTTATATCAATGTTTAGATACAGGTGATACCATTGGTAGAATTTATATCAATGTTAGATCAGTTGATATCATTGGTAGGATTTATATGAATGTTTAGTTACAGTGGATACCATTGGTAGAAATGAAATGAAATGGGGTTTAACTTCCTACTGTTCTGCCCCGACTGGACCATTGGTAGAATTTATATCAATATTTAGTTACAGTTGATATCATTGGTGGGATTTATATAAATATTATAATTACTGTGGTTTTTATATTACAGTTAATACCATTGGTGGGATTTATATCAGCTGCTGTGATTGGATGTGGTGCTTATATGGCCTACGCTCTTGTTACTAAACCAGATGTTAGGTAAGACTTGATCTATTTCTTAAGGCGAGAATTTCATATTTTCTAAGAAAGTCAAAACATAATTATTTCTATGTCTTTTGCTCAATAGGTTATCAACTCACTATTATACGATTCATAGGCATTATTTCCCACACTTAAAAATCATTGACACAGAAAATAACAACACAATTACCTCCCTTGTTTTCCTATTCCCGCCATGGAGTTGAAAATGATATTTTTGCCGATTTCTCAACTGGCAATAGTGAATTATAGGATTAATAGGGTTATTCTTTAACAAGGTAGGACTGTTTATAGATACCATCTATTTTTAAGGCCTTATTTTAAAAATACGAAATTGTAACTTTAAGGCCACTCAAGATTTCGTCAAAATATCTAACCGTTGGATAACGTGTTTCCTCTTCAACTACTATCAGATGAGTGGAACGAAAAACGGGGGTACATATTGGCGAGCAAGAACCCTTGATAGCTGGAATTAGGCCGGGTAGGGTCACTGTCCTGGCTAAATTTCCTACATAGAGCAAGTCCGTGCAGAGGAGTAGGGCCTTGAACTCCTTTTCATGATGGTAGAAGTGTGAACTCAAAGTACTGAACAAAACAGGATGGGAGCAAATTTACTTCCCCAAATATTGTCATGAGTAAATGTGACGAAAGAGGTTGGGAGAGAGAACAATGAGGAGGAAACAACACTTCCTATCCAGAGCCAATCAATCTGATTAAAACACAGATCATATTTCGTTTCGTTTTTTATAGTTCAAAATTTCGTTTTACTTGTCTTTACTACAGTGTAGGTCATCGAAAGTATAAAATAACGAAACGAAACATAGATCTGTATTTTAATCAGATTGATCCAGACCCTGACTCGTCTTTTAACAATTTAACCTCACTGGATCGTTTTCTTGAAAATATTTATCAGATCGAAATCCAGTGTCTGATCAATTCGTTACTTAATAAAAATGTGTTCAAATTAATTATTTTATTGTTATTTATATTATTTCAGAATAAATAAATCAAGTGAGTTACCTCCATGGGAAAGGGTTGAGCCTACTGAAAGGAGAAAGGTTGGTTAACAGTGTCTTTAAATAAACCAGTTAAATATGTTTTCATTAGTCTAGTCGGAACAGAACAGTAGGACGTTAAACCCCGTTTCCTTTAACAGACCCCTACAGGACCCCAGATACTTTAATTCATAAAAACATAACATTAGTATACTCGAATAAACGTTAGAAAGGTATAAATCTAGTTAACAAGAAATTTAAGTGTCTCAATAATTCATTATTCTCTGCATGAAAACCTGATGGACTGTATCCTTCACAGCATCACATCTGTAAATAAGACTCGTGACCCGATGGGGTGGGGTAGGGGTGGGGTAGGGATGGGGGCTAGAATGGTCTACCGCGGCCCGTCGTCGATTCGTGTGTTGTGGCGTTGAACTAAGGCTTGCGTGTGACAAGGTGTTGGGTCATCTGCCCGGCTGTCCTCCACTGCCAAAATTATCTACATTATCTACGTTAAACCCCCCCTCTCTCTCTCTCTCTCTCTCTCTCTCTCTCTCTCTCTCGCGCGCGCGCCTTCTGTGCGGAATAAAATTAGAGGTACTTATTGTGATAATTTCATCTTTTTCAGTTTTTTGTCATCAATGAAAAGTACGAAGAAAATGAGCAGCTGTCTAAATTAAGAAAAGAGATTGGTAGCTTTAAATGTTAAACGGACGAGTCTACTTAAATTTTGCTTTGGATTATGAGAGTGGTGTCCCCTTTACATTTAATGTCCGCTATTTTGTGGCCTATGAATTAATCAGCAGTGCGAGTAGCCTATATATACAAAAAAGGACACGAATTGTGAATGAAAGTATTAATTATAGGGAGGGGATGTTATTAGTCTATAATCATCAAGTTATAGCATTTAAATTCAGATCTCCCTAAGTTATATCAAAAAACATGTGAATATCCTCATCACATATCGTCGCCCCCCCCCCCACACACACACACACCCTACAACTGTCCGAACAATAAACACCCCCTCTTTATCTGCGGAAATGAATTTGTATTCGAATAGATCTTCCCCCACCCCTAACCAATAGAATTAACAAGTCAGATTAAACATATTCCACACGTTTATCAATTTTGAGTTAAACACGATTTCGTTTTGTTTTTTATCGTTAAGAGTTCGAAAGTAACAAAAACAAAATAGGTTTATATTTTTATCAGATTGTCCCGATTTATTAGATTTTGACTTGAAAATGTTTATATTCGCATTTCAAAGATATAACGATAGGTATGTTTAATTCTTTTTCAGCACAAATTTACTTGTATACATTTTATTTTTCATGGTTTTAATGTTTGGTAATAGTCTAGAGATGCACAGAGTCCTTTTTCTTTTATTTCAGAATGTATTTCAGAATATATTAAAGAATATATTAAAGCATATATTTATTATTTAGAAATAATTTATTATTTAGTTTGAATGATAGTGGTTGCATCGAGTGCTGATTTTATTATTCAAATATTTGATTCAGTTGAAATCATAAATTAAAAGCTATTGACCCAGTCCTATATTTAGATTTTGACAAGATTAACGTGTGTTTTCTTTTTTCTTATTTTGTAAATCGTTTTCTTAGAAGTTAATCCATAAAATTATAAATATTTACACTTTTCAAACACAGCGTAAATACAAAAATTTGTAAAGCCCTATCTCCACTACAAGATATAGATCAAGCCCTGTTACCACTAGAGGCTACATAGATCAACAACCTGTTTCTACCATAATGTAACGTAGTTGTTCTAAATGTTGTTACTGAATAAATGTTTTAAAAAATGAATGCTGTTGTAAATAAGATATTGTGATATATAAAATATACAGATAGAAATAAATATTTATGTTGGTGTTTATTATCTTTCATAGAGGTCAGCACTCGCCTAGGATTAATGCATTCTCGCCGATAACCTTTCAGGCATCACTGATTTAAGCGGTTAGGGCCGTGGTGTTCGAGTGCTTAGGATATCGTACCTTACCGTGGTCTAATAAAGTGAGAAATTTACAATAGAAACGAAGAATTTATCGCCAAAACAATCGCCTGATGTATTATTTAATCGCCATATTTATCGCAGTTGACGGAAATGGCGATCGACAGCGTGATCGCCGAGTCTGTCCCGTGTTGGAAATTATCTGAATAACTGATGGACTACGTTCGTCCTTAATGACCATGTCCATCCTTAATGAATAGTTTTATGAATACTGAGCAATCGATAACAATACGAGAGTGATATCCAAAGGTAGAACCGTATACTAAACGAGAGCGGGGCCTATTGGTATATCCCCGGTCCGTATACTAAACAAGAGGAGTGGGGTCCATTGGTATATCTCCGCCAGTATGCTATACGAGAGCGGGGCCTATTGGTATATCTCAGGCCCGTATACTATACGAGAGGAGTGGGATCCATTGGTATATCCCCGGCCCGTTTATTAAACTAGAAGAGTCGGATCCACTGGTATATCACCAGCCCGTATACTAAACGAGAGGAGTGGGATCCATTGGTATATATCCCCGGCCCGTATACTAAACTAGAGGAGTGGGATCCACTGGTATATCCCCGGACTATATATTAAACGAGAGCGGAGCGGCGATCGACAGCCTGAGCGTTGGCGGGACCCATAATTGGTATAACCCCTGCCCGTATACTATACGAGAGCGGTGCCTTTTGGTATATCCCCGGCCCGTATACTAAATCGAGAGTGGGGTCCTTATGTCATTTACGGTGTACGAATATAACGTGGTACCATGAATTGAAGTAATTGAAGTAACATGTATCAGTGATAGTCATGGTTTCGTTATACACGGAAACATTATAGTGTAACCGGAACGTATGTAGGTCAAATCGTTAAGAGATTCGCGCGTTTTGTTATCACGATTCCACTCAGGAAATTAACAGGATATTTTGATGATGGCAGAATAGGGGATGAAACATGTGGTACAATTTTATATACATGGTAATTCGCTATAGGGAGTAGGGGTATTTAGTAGTGGAAGAACCCGGAGAAGACCCACGAGGTTGGACAGGGGACCCTACTCCTTGTCACGTACACGCGGGGAATCGAACCACGCCACTTGACCTACCGACAGACCTTATGATCTAATGCGAACGCCTCAAACCATTCGACTACCCAACCCCCCACTAGCTTTCAGCAAACCACCAACTTTACACATTGCCTTGTGATTTTAACAAGAACAGACAATAGAGAGCTTACCTTTTGAGAATTAAACACACATCCCCGTCACTTGGTCTATTCATATTGTTCACCACCTGATGTATCTAAAATAATAAAATAATCAATTATTGAAACAATTCCTTCAATAATCGTAATAAAATGAAAAACTTATTTCAGTGGATCATAACATTGATTTATATATAACAGAGTGTAATAATCTTTCCCTGACTAAACTTCTACCCTAGGAATCTGTCTCCACATGTATCTCACCCAAGACTCACTGATCTTGAACAGATTTACAATTTAAGTCTACTTTTATAATAAAATACCTACCGAGGTTTTATTATCATCGTTGCTTGTCATTTACACCACTGGGTGGAGCGATTCTTCTTCTTGTACACTTTGTAACGAGGCTACCTTCCACACAGTAGCTTGATCCTCTTGAATTCCTAGTTCAAACTCTCGTTTAGCTGTAATAATGTCGTGTAACCGTTGTTTAATCTTTCTAGAATACTTGATGCTGCATCCCGGTTATCAAGGTGATTGATATTCGTTGACACATGGTACTCAAGATAATAAAGTAATTAAAACCGGAACGGTTTGAAAGCCGAACACACCCGAATGTTCAGGATAGTCCTCGAGGGTACAGATGTACACACTTTACACAGACTTGTAACATAAAACACCCCAGAATCAGTCCTCCTCTAGAATCAGCCCTTCTCCATCAATCTCTACAATAATGAAGAAAAAAACAAGCATTTTATTGAACCGTCAAATTTTTTCCCATCATTTTAAAATGATAATTATGTTTATGCTAAATATCTAAGCTATAGTAATTAAGATTATGTTAAATTTCTAAGCTATGTTAATTATTTTTATGTTAAATTTCCAAGCTATGGTAATTACGATGTTAAATTTCTAAACTATGGTAATTATTTTTATGTTGAATTTCTAAACTATAATGGTAATTATTTTTATGTTGAATTTCTAAACTATAATGGTAATTATTTTTATGCTAAATTTCTAATCTATGGTAAATTTCGAAGCTACGGTAATTATTTTCATGGTAAATTTCGAAGTTACGGTATAGATGGTAAATTTCTAAGCTATAAAACACAAGGCGAATAGATAGTGACGCGTGACTAATAACTCTCTTTAGTACCTGGATCGACAATTGAATATCTGATTACAGAATGAGATTTCACGGGGAGATTTATATATATTTAATAGCAATTCTCTGGGAAATAACAATTATTGATAATTCAGCAACTAATTCACCCGGGCAGGAATTACAAAAATATTTCCAGAGAGCACCCGAGCTGAAGAAGGCCACCATAATGAAAGACACAATACAAGAGACATATTGGAAAAAGCTAAAGAGAAACTAGACAAAAGTGACGCTCGTGGAGCCTCTGTTTACGTTACATACATATATTCAATTTCAAATATTTAATTCTATCGTATGAAATTAAAATTTAAAATCAATTCTGGTTATACTCACCCGTCTCCATCTGTTCAGATCAACATGTAATAACACATCCAACCAATATCGCCACTCACTGGATTTTAATTTCGTCTATAGGATTAAAAATAGTATCGTTTTACAATCATATAACATTAGTCTAAAATATCATATCCATTGAAATACACCTAGACCAGAACACGTGGACTCTTTAATAACCAATTATCAATCACTTTATAGTTTCCTTCTCCATTAACCTTGACCAAGGTCACTTGACTCGTCCTGTTTATTGAGTAATAACAAGCCCGAGTCTCGCGCTGGCTACGTGCAATCTGGAACGTGCTTTTTTTCCTGTATGAATGAAGCATTAAGGAAGAAGATCGCATTATTTACGCACATATTAACACGCCTATATTATTGCGCGGCGGTCCTGCTTATGGGAGATAGGAAATTGTTTTAAGTAACAAAGTAAGTTTGATTTATTTTTTTAACAAATAATTAATAATTTATTTGGGTTCGCGCACCCGAGGGAATATGTTGGCTTTTTATAAACCATTTTATTTTATTTTAAAAATGATATACATAGCACAGAACTTTTACACAACAAGCAGCTTCTTCCTTTCTTAGTTAAAATCAACAGGCGTAAAGACGGCCTTCAAATAATATATATTTTGTTAAAATTTATTTATCATTAATGCGTGACCTCGTGGTGTGATGATTTTTTTTAAAACACCTGATATCACGTCTTACCTGAGGAGTTCATAGTATTACACAGGGTATTAAAATTTGTCCATCCTACGCATTGGTCGTGGCTTTCTCTAACGAGTAATGTGACCAACCATCCATGCTGCCATGTGTCTATTTCTGATAGAAAGTATATGATATGATCTTTATTAGTGATTGACTTAGACGTGTTCATTAACCATTGGCAGTACTTTAAAGATCCCCTCAGGGGATAAGTGAGAGGGACGCAATGACGAGCTTTTCGTCATGGTTTAGGGTTTTTCGAGCCCCCTTAAGTTTTTGCCCCCCCCCCTCGCAAATGGCAAAAAATCGTGCGGTTTTAATGCGGGTTTCAACATTATAATGATAATGCTTAACTAGTGTCAAACATATACCGTGGGTCAGATATTATGCTACTAATCGACTCTAGCATGTTCCACACAGCCCAATATTAGCCAGTGGCAATGGGAGGGACTGCCACCCCGCCCGCCCCATTTTTGCGGGGCTCGGGCGGGATCTTGTTCCTCATGCAAAATCATGGGTCACCACAGCACCATTGTCAAGGCACACTATCCGCCATAACAAACCTGATGGGGGGGGGGCACATAATCGACACAATCTAGGTCATTTCGGGACTAACATGGTTCAATTTTATTATAGTAATTGGTTTGTGTGTAGGGGTTATTAGCCGTGGGAATAAACCGATAGACCCAGAGACAGTGGCGGAGGCGGCGTCAAAGGGGGGGGGGGGGATTTGCCCACTCATAAATCTGGTCTGCCCTCTGTTCCCCCCCCCCCCCCCATGATTTTGGAAAATAAAAAAGAAATTATTTGTGATACGTTTCGGTAATCAATACCTTCTACGGTGATTAAATCCTACATCCCCACTCAGTCATAGACTTGCATGTTGTAGAGTCTGAGTGATTTCTTACCAAGCCCATTCTGCTGTAAACCTACTATAAACAATAACACGTGAACCACTTGAGAAGTGCTTTTTACGATCCTCAAAGTTTTTGGGTATATAGGTTCAAAGCGGCGAGAATATGCATTCACTTGATACACTCACTCCGTTCGGTTGATATTTCCCTCTCTGTTCGGATAAGCTGGTGATTTGGCGACGAACAGTATCTGGTCAGCTCTATTTCTGAAATATTGCCCGGCTGCATTCCCGGCAGTCTATTTCACAAAATATCGTGGCGAAAATATTCATTCACTTTGATTCACTCACTCCGTCCGTTTGACACTTTCCTCTCTGGTCGGATATACTAGTGATTTGGCGACAAGCGGTATCTGCTAAGCTCTATTTATCTCGACGATCAGTGCCTGGAATACTGCCAGACTGCATTTCCGGCAGTCTACTTTTCAAATTTTCGGAGGCTTCGTTGAGGTTCGCAAGTCCGTTCATTTGACACTTTCCTCTCTGGGGTCGGATAGTGATCAGGTGACAGACATCATCTGATCAGCTCTATTTATCTCGACAATCGGAGCCTAAATACTGTCAGACAGCATTTCCGAGGGTCTATTTTTCAAAATTTTCAGGGGGAGGTCCCCCATACCCACCGTAAGGATTCCCTACTTTGACGCTCGTGAGTGGGCTTCGTCGAGGTTCGGTCGTTTGATACTTTATCTCAACGATCGGTGCCTAAAATACTACCAGGCTGCATTTCTGTTTTTCTAAAATTTCTGGGGGAGGCCCCCCTACCCGTAGTTAAAGCTGATGCCTTTGCCCCCTTATCCTTGGACTTTGCCCCAGCTTTGCCCCCCCCCCCCAACCACCGGCGGCTGGCGCCGCCACTGCCCAGAGAAAACCCACGTGATTGGACATAACAAACAGTGGGTGAAACATTGGACTAGACTCTAGTCTAGTTGTGCTATGGTATTAGTATAATAAATATGTTAGTGAATATCTTATTCAATAAGCTGAATTGGACTGAACAACAGGCAAAGGCCTATATAAGTTCTCTCTAAACATATAAAATAGTTAAATACAATACAATGGTGGACATGGGTTACAAGCATATATACATTGCTTGGAGTGTAATTTTAAGTTTTAAATGTTAACTTTGTTGAAAGCTATGCATGTTTATGTAATTATCTATTAAACTATTTCTATTTTTAAAATAAAATGTAAATAAAGTACTTGTAGAAGTATTTATAATAGATCACGTGGCAGATGCACATCCTGGTTGTACAGATTTTTTTTCCTTCTTTTCAAACTCAGTTTTTATTACAAAATATTTCAAGGTCCGGCTAGTTATTTAAGCGATGATAACACTTTTATCAAAATCAGTTTTTATTACAAAATATTTCAATGTTATTTAAAGAGGTGCTGTTACTTTTATCAGTTACAAAATAACACGAATGTCTATTGAGGTGTATGATACCTTTTAATCACCATAGCAACAGAAGCGGGTGCTCAGAAGATCTGGAACTACTTTAAATTTTTGGTTTTATATTACGTTGCAACCAAACACATATTATCCTTCTAAGATTAACCCTTTGACTCTAAACCTCTGGACCGCATTATCCCCTTAATCTTGATATTTTTTCAAGTTAAATAGTACCCAGACCTAAAATTTCATCAATTCTTTCTTTCTTTTGAATAGTGTTCGATCGTTCATAGAACTTAACGTCAGCTTCAACCGAGGCTAGCCTTAGAAATATATATTCTAGATGTTTGATAGTGTAACCTGGGCTTTATAAAGAGATGTTCCAGAAATTTGATAATGTAGCCCGACCTTTTACAGAGAGATATTCTAGAAGTTTGATAGTGTAGCCCGGGCTTTAAAAAGAGATGTTCTGGAAGTTTGATAGTGTTGCCCGGGCTTTGTAAAGATATATTCTAGACGTTTCACTCCTTTTATTTCTGCGCCTTTATCTGCTAGGTCAGTTTGATCTAGCCTCGTTCTGTCACAATAACGACATTATTATTATGTAAATGATAAACGAGGAGACATATTATGTTAATAAACAATGTCAAGGGTCAAGTTGATTAAACTGTCATTTGTCAACATGTAGCTAAAGCAGATATAGAATTAAACCTGATATCACAGGTGTAAATATCCCTGTGTTCACGTTTTATTCAAATCAAATTTCTGTTGACTGATAAACCGGTCCCTATGGATTGTTTACTTGTACACTTCAAGTAATCATATCAGGAGATTCAAATTTTTAAAAAATTTAAAAAAAAAATAATAGATGAATACAAAGGTAACAGAATGGAGAGAGAGAGAGAGAGAGAGAGAGAGAGAGAGATGGGGTTTAACGTTCACTCGACACAAACTAGGTCATTTCGGGACAAACATATGGTTTAATTTTATTTCAATAATTCGCTTGCGCGTAGGGATCTTTAGCAGTGGGAGAAAACCAGAGGACCCGGAGAAAACCCACGAGGTTGGACAGACGACCCTACTCCTTGATTCGAAACCATCCAACCCCCCTAACCGAATTGAATCGGGTTTAACGTCTGGTTTACTTGGGTCATTTGAGACTAGCATACGTTTGTTATTTCTACTATGGTTACACCTGGTTTTCGTGCCATCCAAACAACTAGACACATTCTTGTGATTCCCCTGACAGCTGGGGAGCCACGGTGGCTAAGTGGGTAAAACGCTGGTTTGCTAGCCTGGAGGTCGCATGTTCGATCCCTGCATTGGCCGAGAAAGTTCATTGGGATTTTCCGACGTGGTTTCACCTTGTCAGTAGTGCAGGACGGAGGTCCTGACAAGGATAGGTGTCTAGTCGTTTGGATGGAATAAAACACGAGGTCCCGTGTATATATTGGCGTGCGCGTAAAAGATCCCTTGGCAGTTAGAATTCGATATAAGAGTAGGCCGGGCAAAATTTCCCTCATAGCACACGGGCGTATGTCCGTCTCCATTGTTTGAAATCCGAAGGTTTATCTCTTCACACACCAGTGTTCGAACCTGGGACATTCAGGTTGTGAATCCTGTGTCCTGACCACTCAAGGGGTTGGGTGACCGAATGGTTAGCACGTGCGCGCTGTAGCATAGGGTCTGTCATTGAGTCAACTAGCGTGGTTTCGATTTTCCGGTTGTACCTGACAAGGTGTAGGGTCGCCTGTTCAGCCTCGGGCGTTTTCTCCCGTTCCAACGGTTTCCACCCGCTGCTAAAGACCTCTATGCGCAAGCGAATTATTGAAATAAAATTAACCAGATGTTAGTCCCGAAATGCCCTAGTTTGTATCAAGTGGACGTTAACACCCCCTCTCTCTCTCTCTCTCTCTCTCTCTCTCACTCCTCTCTCTCTTTCTTATGAATATGAGCAGTGGCCGCAGTTATTCTGATATCATCACGTCTGGAATCTTAATAAAATGCGAAACAAATTGTTCTTCGGGTTTCGTGAATAGCTGATAATGGATTAACGAAGATTCTGTTCAACAGTATGATGTCTCCTTTAATAAATCAACACAGTAATGCTAGGATCCCACTATCACGATTCGCACTACCATTGAAATCGTAGTTTTAATCGTGGAGTAATCGTGGTGATCCTATCAGGTCTTATCATATATATTGAGTTCAGTCGTAGCAATCGTGTTGATCGTATCGGTACCTGCACTGACCAGATCCTATCGTAACATATGTGCAATGCAGTGGGAACCTATTAAATAATAAACTAAATACTCTTATTTCTCCTTTTCAGCTATCAAACGAGCACTATTTGGTGAATTTTTGTATTTGGAATTTTGACTGGTATCCCGTTCCATAACTAAGTATCCCCACCGACTGTCTTCAGTGTTGATATCTGACCGCCATGGCATCCTGGGGTGAACGAATCAAACTTAGAACGTTTGGTTTTGGTTTCAGAGCTTTTAAAAATTACCCCGAGGTAAGTATCTTTCTTTAGAGTTGAGTGAAATGAAATGAAATAAAAAAAAAGGGGGTTTAACGTCCTACTTTTCTGCGCCAAATGGGCTAACGAAGACGGGTATGAGCCATACAGTAGGGTGCTATGAGGGAAAGTTTGCCTCATAGAGAAGGGATTTGGCACAGTGATCAGAGTGCTTGGTCTGGGAAATAACGGGGAATAAAATTAGGAATGCAAAGTCTGTACCGATAACAATTATTTTCATAATTTCCTTGATGATCCATGAATAGTTTTGTGAATAGTTCTCGAATGTTGTCAAATAACAAAAGTTTGTTTTTATTCGATGAAAAATAACAATTTCCGCAAAGATAAATCGCCTAGAGAAGAGAAATATGATTTTGTCGACGTGTGTGTTATTCTTGGTATTCGCAGAGTGATAATTAGTAGATTTAAACAGGGTATAATAGTCCACATTATTTGCAGTTAAGGTTATAGACCGTGAAATGAATTTGGCTGACTGTTATTTTACATCTCATCAGAGAGAGAGAAAGAGAGAGAGAGGGGGGGGGCAGAGGGCGGGGGGGTCATTTCGGGGCTACCATATGATACAGTTTTACTGGTAATTCTCTAGCACGTAGAGAGAGAGAGAGGGGGAAGGGGGGTAGTTTACAATTCCTTACATATTCCCATGTTAAATAAGTTCCATATCTTCATGTTAAATAAGTTACATATCTCCATATTAAATAAGTTTCATATTCCCATATTAAAAAAGTTACATATCTCCATGTTAAATAAGTTACAAATCTCCATGTTAAATAAGTTACATATCTCCATGTTAAATAAGTTACATATCTCCATGTTAAATAAGTTACAAATCTCCATGTTAAATAAGTTACATATCTCCATGTTAAATAAGTTGCACATGACCATATTAAATAAATTACATATGTCCATGTTAAATAAGTAACAAATCTCCATGTTAAATAAGTTACATATCTCCATGTTAAATAAGTTACATATCTCCATGTTAAATAAGTTGCATATCTCCATGTTAAATAAGTTGTATCCATGTTAAATAAGTTACAAATCAAACATTTAAATATTCCCATATTACATAAGTTATACATTAAATAAGTTGATTTCTATTCCTATGTTGAATAAGTTACATGTTCCCATCTCAAATAAGTTACATATTCCCATATTAAAAATGTTACAAATGCCCATTTTAAATACTCCCTTTAATATCAGTTAAAATTATTTGACTTACATAAACGGACATTATTTGTCGGATGGAACAAAACTGACATACAAAACTAGAAACTTCTATAATTTATTAAAATTAATAATGAAAGTAAATGGAGAAATGAACAACATGTATAACATAATTTTGATTGGATAAAATGTCATATTACCCATGAAATATGACTGCATATTACGGAAATTATTGATTACACTTCTTATTAATATAATAACCATGGTAACCTGATATATCATATTTATAATTGATGAAACTACTAGGCTAACTATTTCTATATAAATTATATTTAGTCGTCTATTATTCGCTGTAATCATAGTGGGTCGGTTGCTATGAAAACATTTCAAACAACAAAATGTGATGGAAAATATGTGTGGTGTGTGTGTATGGGGTGTTTTGCCTGATCGATCGTAGTCGACGAGAAATCGGGCTATCGTCGACAAATAATACTTGGCCATGAAAATTGAAGCGAATTAATAACCATTCTCCAAATTTTTGCCTGTCTAGTATTATTATAATATCACAGAATAGAATATATGATATTTAATGTCCCGTAGAGAGAACTCAACTGATATCATTTTAGACTAAATGGCAATTTTATTGTTGTTTGTAACTATACATTGGTTCTTGTGGGGGGAAACATCGCAACCACACAATTCTCTAGAATCAGCAAACTATTCCAATATGACCACTAAGTAACCTGGCAACTAAAACATTGATGGATTGTCGGTTTCTAGGGAATTGCGTGACATTGTTAAATATTTGTCGTGATTAAAAGGTTAACTGAATCTATTGGGGAATGATGTATAATTACTAGGCTATCGACAATAATTTTGTAAATAAACAAATCCATTATGGTTAAAGGGACAAAAGTACGACACACATTTGTTGGAAACAGAAATAATAAAAATCCTGCGGTTGAAGTTCTTCTTTAACAACAACAAGTACGATACGATAGTAATATATGGACCAGGAACCGGATATAGCGCCATCGCCGCCATCTTGGAAATTGTGACGCCATATTCCAAATCGATGCTAAATTGTCTAGGGAACAAGCATGCTACCTTTTATGTCGATTGTACATGAATTTGGGGAACCTTGGGCGTTTATAAAAGAGTGCCCCCCCCCTCCCTGAAGAGGGGCAACAATAGGATAAGTAGTGCTAGATGATGAGTTCATGTTCCAACAACAACAACAACAACAATAACAACAATAAGATGAGTAGTGCTAGATGAATTATATCTTAATTTTGTCCCAGGGATCCTGGTTAACTGATCTTGATAGTAAATTAAGAATCCGAATGAGAAACGGTATCAGATTGTATGGAACTGAAATGAAATGGGGTTTGGCGTCCTTCGTTTCTGCATTATCGAGACTACTCACTCGTTTCGGGTTTTCCAAAAAGAGAGAATATGCCGCTCGGTATTTATAACCAAAAGGGATACCAAACGTTCTAAAAATGAGTGACCATAACCTTCCACGTACATGACCCCTGTCATTAATTACAGATAAAGGAGAAGTGAGTGGTATCACGTTTTCTAGAAAGTATCGTGCAGCACTTCTTACAGCCACATAAAGCAATGGTTTAGCCTTACAGAACAGATGTTGTGTCACTTTAAATTATCAAGTACAATGTAGCATATTATCCAAGTCAATCAACGAACTGATAAAGGGCGTCTGCAATTTCCTGTTATTTTCCGTGCAACGCGATAATTTCTCGTCTGTTAGCATTATTAATCAATCTAAGTTAAGTTTGTGACAAACTACAGCGTCTATTGATTTCGCCATTTTGTTATCTTATTGGAAGTAATTAAACATGCTCCTTAAAGGGTTATAAAAGGCTACAAATGTTGAAACATGATAACTAGCCGGATGCACCAAGCAATTCTGACATCCTACATAACTCACTACCCTGGAGGTCAAGGTGCTCGGGATTTTCCAGTCCATCAAGGAAAAACTGGATCGTTATCCCGTGTATACCAGTGTCTGTTGGGAAGGAATCGTCCTTTATAGCTGTCTAAGGCACTACAGTATCTTTATCCTTGTCCTTTATAGCTGCTGTCTAAGGCACTGCGGTGCCTTTATCCTAGTTCTTTATAGCTGAGCTGTCTGAAGCACTGTCTGTGGTACCTTTATCCTAGTCCTTTACAGTTGTCTGAAGCACTGTCTGTGGTACCTTTATCCTTTACAGTTGTCTGAAGCACTGTCTGTGGTACCTTTATCCTAGTCCCTTACAGTTGTCTGAAGCACTGTCTGCGGTACCTTTATCCTAGTCCTTTACAGTTGTCTGAAGCTCTTTGATACCTTTTAGAAGAATTACAAACACAGAGTTGTCGCCGGACTCCGTTTTCATAGATAATATATGTAAATGTTTGGCGATATCTTTGACATTTAGTAGTGAGTGGACACCGGAGAACCTACATAAATCGATGAGGTTAAATAGGCGACCCAATTCTTTATCACATAAAAGCTGCATGACTCATGCATAGAATAGAATAGAATTTGAATTGTATCGCAACGAGAGAGAGAGAGAGAGAGAGAGAGGGGCGGGGGGGGGGGGTAACTTGGTCATTTCGAGACTAGCATATAGTTCTATTTTATTTCAATAATTCGCTTCCGCGTAAGGGGGGGGGGGGATTAGCAGTGGGAGGACCCGGAGAAAACCCACGAGGCTGGACAGGCGAACCTGCTCCTTGTCACGTACAACCGGGGAATCGAAACCACACCAGTCGACTCAATGACAGACCTTATGATACAACGCGCACGCACTAACTATTTATCCATCCACCCCCACCCCCCCCCACCCCCGCATCGAAACGCACTTTTGCATTGACGATCTCATGTAAACGCGCTAGAACCGATCGCCCACACCCAGAAAGTTAATCGTTTGCATTCGGACAACATATTTAGTTGAAGTGTCTCTTTACGTATTTCTTAAGATTGATTTGTAATTTGATAAAGATAATTAACGTATACTGGCTTTGTTTGTTTATTACAGCTGGTACCACTGTGTGCGTTTATATCAGCAGCGGTTGCAGGGGCTTGTTGTATGATGGCATATTCTCTAAAAACTAAACCAGACGTCAGGTAACGTATCCATTTACCAAGCCCCCACTCCCTACCCCTCGTCCACATCATTCACCCGCGCCCGCACCCCAGGGTATTTGTTAGTGCAGTATGTACTGGGATCAATGTCCCACTACTTTGTAAAAAATTATGGACGGACTGCGGCAATAACGACGGTGATGAAGGCAAGTATTATTAATTGAAAGAGGGGAAGTAGAAGGATGTTCATTTCTCAAAACAATGAATGAACAATTAGAATAAGAAGTGAGCTTTTTGGTGTTTCTGTTAAGTAATATGATTATTGTATAAATTCGCATTACAGAGTAATGATAAACAGTAGATTTACAGTGTCATAATCTCTAAAATTCCTACCCCCACCCCCACCCCGGTTGAGCCTCATGTGCACCAGCACCAATGCTTCAGATGGCTTAAAAATGCTCTATGTGCCTTTAATCTCGGAATGGGCAACATAGGAAACTTTGGGATGATAGTGGACAGATGGCTAGTTATAGTGGACGCTAGTGCCAGTGTTGGGATTGTTGATGTTAAGGCGAATACGGGGTGATTGGAATATGATATTATATAAGTATCCAATACAGATTTATCCAGGGTTTCGATTTACCTTTGGGGCAAATTTTATATAAGTTTAATTATATTGGTTTTGTTGTTGACAATGACTATGACTCTACATTTTGGGGGTTTTGTTTTTTCAGATTAATCAAATCAAGCGAGTTACCTCCCTGGGAAAGGGTTAAACCCACGGAAGTTAGAAAGGTTCGATTTCTATTTTATTTGTCATAATTTAAAACATTTGTTTTTCGTCCCACCCGAAACGACTAGATAGTACTTTACTTTTCAACCTCGCTGGCGCGGGGGGGGGGGGGGCACGGTGGCTCAGTGAGTAAGACGCTGTCTCGCTAACGTGGAGGTCCAGAGTTCGATTCATGTGTTGGCCGAGATAGTTCATCGGGGGATTTTCCGGCGTGTTTCACCTTGTCAGTGGTGCAGGACAAAGGGTCTAGCAAAGGACAACGTATAGTCGTTCGGATAGCACGAAAAACCGAGGTACTGTCTACACATTGGCGTACACGAAAAATTTCCTTCATAGCACACTGTATGGCGCATGTCAGTCTTCGTTAGCCCGGCCGGAGCAGAACAGTAGAATGTTAAACCCCATTTCATTCCATTTTGCACACGCTAGGCGGCTACTCCTCACACGTTGGAACCGGGTTTTAAAAATCCCGACCTTCTTCTCGCCCCACATCGGAATTTGGATCTGATACATTCTAGGCGACAATCCACAGCCGTTTCAATTTTTTTCGTAATTTTCAGTTATGTTTATTTTTGTTGGGGTTTTTTTTTCAGTTTTATGTGAACAATGATAAAAAAGTTTATGTGGAGAACGAAAAACTGGCTCAACTTAGGAAGGAAATTGGAAGCTTTAAATGTTAAAACATGCGTTGTTGATTTTAGTTTTTACATTACGTCTCACTGGAATACTAGAGTTGTGTCCCCTTCTCTAAAGCAATAATATGAAGCTGGGAACTTTTCAGCAAATATCTTACCTGACAGTATGTGTTGAATATAAAATATGATTGAAATTCATTTAATTTGAAAATTAAAATCACTTGTCCACCGATGGACATTCTTAAAGAACAAAGTATAATTTTTAAGATTTGACGCAATTCTTTCCATTTTTAAAAATCCATTTCAAATAAAATGGATTTATTGTTATTTTTATGTAATTTGGAATTTGTCTCAACTTTTAATTCATCCAAAGATCTTTTATGTTTTAATGTTGTGTTTGCTGTACTCTGTTTTATAGAAAATTAGAACAATGGAAATTTTAACTGTAAAGTTATTTTCATACAAAGCTTACTTTTTAGAAGCTTAGAATTTACAAATGTGGGCCAACGGTCTCTTCATTACAAAAGTACATATCTTAGATTTTTTAGAATATATGTGAATGATGTGACTTGTCTTTGATAAAAAATATTAAACACAGTTTGTTTGGTAAACCCCGCGGATTAATCATTTCCGAAGCCATGGTTACACGTATTATCGGACCTTTAACCATTGCTACAGTAACCATTGTATTCTAGCATTTCCATTATAGTAGGTTAAATACAGACGGAGATCATCTCGTGGTACCTGACCCCTTTATCTTGAGTATTGTTTCAGTTCAGTATTTTCGTCTTAAGATTTCTATTGGTTATGGATGCCACCTAGTTTTAAATAAGCTATGACCTACCCTCTCAGAAATGAAATGAAATGGGGTTTAACGTCCTACTGTTTTGCTCCGAACTGGGCTAATGAAGACGGGACCCTCTCAGAAAGTTTAATAGCCGGATAATAGGTTTAATAGAAGGGCGAAGTAAAAAGTCCATAGGATTAACTTCCCAGCGAACCTAGCGTACATATTATACCAATCGCCTATATCCATAAAGTGTAGCCATGGTTAATGAACTGTTAATATCCGCTACCATTGCTTGGGGAATATGAGGGTTTATGTGCATGATAAGAGCTCTACTGATGAATAAATATTTTTATATTGTGAAACTGTACATTATTTTATGTGAATAAAGTATGTGTTATTTAAAAACAACAGTTAACATATCTTTATTACAATATAATATTTATTTTCTTCCAGCGGAAGGAACACGGAGAACTCTCAGTAAACCAATATTAGACAGGCAATAGTACTCAGTTTACTAACTGTTCGAGCGTTTTTCAGCGTGGCTTCCCCTTGACAGTGTAAGCGGAAGTGCCACTATTCGTGTAAAATCAATGTCTCCCATGGACCACGGCGTGGCTTATACCCGTCTTTACAGGTGGTGTCAAAAATGAAATTAAATAAAATGTGGTCGAACGTTCTACTGTTCTGCTCCGACTGGGCTAATGAAAACGGGCATACGCCATTCAGTTTGCTATAAGGAAATTCTGCCCGGACAGCGATGGTGTCAAAACCAACCTAATATACGATCCCCATTTTTGCTGTGCGGTACTTAAACTTTAATGTCCTTCTCGAAAGGTTAGTTTGTAGCTATAATCTGGGAGGAAATGGTAGACGATTTTACCCTTTATGACATATTTGCGTTGGATCGAACCCTTGCATTGGGGATAGGCCTTATAGCAGACCTCTTGGACATCGAACCCTCCATTTTCAAACAAACAAACCCGTGTTGTTTTATGTTCTGTTAGAATTCATTGATTGATAAAACAGAAAACATTCACACAACCTACCATTACATAAAATAATCATTATATTGTCACGAACTACAAATACATCTACAAATTAAATGATTCTGTTTTAATCAGTTTTCCATTTAATCATCGTATGGATTAGTATGGAGAGAGAGAGAGGGAGAGAGAGAGCAAAGAGCTATCAACTGTTCCCTTCAGGGAGATTGTTCCCTTCAGACTTTCCTTTCTTCACAACCGGTAAGACGCTGGCTCGCTAGAAGGGAGGTCGGGTGCTCGATCCCTGCATTGGCCGAAAAAGTTCATCCAGATTTTCCGGCGTGGTTTCCCCTTGACAGTGATGCAGGACGGAGGGCCTGGCAAGGACAGCTGTCTAGTCGTTCGGATGACACGAAAAACCAAGGTCCCGTGTACACATTGTCGTGCACGTAAAAGATCCCTTGACAGTTGGAATTCGATATAAGAGTAGGGCGTAGTGCCGTTGCCCGGGTGAAATTTCCCTCATCGCACACTGTATGGCGTATACCCGTTTTCATTAGTCCAGTTCGGACCAGAACAGTAGGACGTTAAACTCCATTTCATCTCGTCTCTTCACAACCGACAATGGGAAACCACGGCGGGAAATCCAGAGGAACTTCTCGGCCAACTCTCTGACAGGACCCGAGGTCTCATGGTTATCATTATAACTGCAGATTCTCTAAAAATCGCAAAATCTTAAATTTCAAAAAACTGTATCCCCAGCCCATGATGAATATCATCTTACCTATCAAACAATCAAAACACGTGCAGTCATCCCCGAGTCACCAATATTCAGACAGAGCAAGGGGCTGGAGGAACCGGGTCTACAAACAAATGTTCTAGCTCCTCGTTTTCCACTTGTAAGTTGTGCAGGGCTCGGAAGCGAGGATAGTGTCTTATCGTTCGCATGTGACGTAAAACCGGGGTTTTGAACAGATACGCTTCCCCTCATAACATATTGCATGACACATGCTCGTCGATGTAGAAATGTAGGATGTTAAAACTGATTTCAAGAGTGCCCGGTAGAACTGAATATATATAATAGTATATTATATAAAACTAATTACAAGAGTGCACGGTAGAAATGAATATATATAATGGTATATATATAAAACTAATTACAAGAGTGCACGCTAGTACTCAATACAATCGTATATTATATAAAATTAATTACTTTTTTCCTTTATAAAAAAAAAGCTTTTGTCACGTTACGTCGATATTGTTTGACCTGACTATCTAATATGGTACATATCACACAACGTTTTATTGACTTTTTGTAGTATAAATCTACAACAGTTAAAATGTTCGGTCAACTGAAGCAGCAGATAAATCAACAATTTCTCATTCAAATATATCTCTTATTAGAAGTGACACATTCTACAGCTAGATTAATAACTCAACACAAGCCACCGAACTGTGAACTTTCTATTTACACCAGAAACGTTACCAGGTGTTCTAGAAGTAGTACGCTGGTTATCTAGGGGTAAGAGAGAGAGAAATGGGGTTTAACGTCCACTCGACACAAACCAGGTCATTTCGGGACTAACAAATTGCTCAATTTTATTTCAATAATTCGCATGCACGTAGGTGTCTTTAGCAGTGGGAGGAAACCGGAGGATCCGGATAAAACCCACGAGGTTGGACAGGCGACCCTACTCCTTGTCACGTACAACCGGGGAATCGAAACCATGCCAGTTAACTCAATGACAGACCTTATGATACAGCGCGCACGTGCAAACGATTCGGCCATCCAACCCTCCAATATCCCGGGGTAAAGTTAGAAACCCTTTGGATTTATTATCTGGTAGGGGCCTAAAATTTGGCTTGCTATGGCACATACATTTTCTATCGGCGACCCTGAAGATACAACTTGATCTTCACGTCGACATCAGAAGCCAAAGATTTCACACCAATCATTATAGCTCCGTATTTATAATAACTTCTTGTTGTCACGATACCCCCTCCAGCTCTCACATAAAACTGTGTAGAAATTTTTGGCCAAACATTTTTTTTAATTTGCATATTAGTTTGACCTTTCCATTTGGTCGATATATCAATGTTGGTATTGTTAAAGTGCTCTAACATCCTAACTAATGGCAAATAAACAAGCGTTTATCTGTAATGCAAATAACAACGGAAAAAGGACATTATAGATTTAATTTCGTTTAATTAAATTTCTATTTAGCGTGTGTGCATTTTTATCTGAAACATCTCCCGAGAAACGGAAAGCAAGCGAGGCAGTGGTTAACTAGTTAGGTCTGATAACAAACTGTAAAATATTTAACTGTCAGTTAACTAACGGTAAAGTAGTTTACTAGTTCGGTCTGTTAGCTAACGGTAAAGTAGTTAACTAGTAAGGTCTGTTAGCTAACGGTAAAGTAGTTAACTAGTAAGGTCTGTTAGCTAACGGCAAAGTAGTTAACTAGTTCGGTCTGTTAGCTAACGGTAAAATGGTTTATAACTAGTTCGATCTGTTAGCTAACGGCAAAGTAGTAACTAGTCAAGTCTAACGGTAAAGTGGTTAACTATAAGTTAGGACTGTTATCTAATGATTGCATAATCTGTCCTCACTCCGGAAGTCAATTTAGATCAAATATATTTTAGAATCCATTGGCAATTTATTAGAACCAGATTATATCGAAATAAACAATACAATCGACAGTTTTATATCCCTTCAAAGGCCCAGCATTTCAGAATAAATATAATAACAATAAGTGTGCCATCAAGATTTATTCTATACGTCAGAAGTGTTTAATTACATGGTAACAACAATCTTTATAATACAAAAGTACTTAAGTCTGACTCTCAGCGGTCCCAGTACGTTTGTTCTCCACGATGTTATGAGTTATTTGAATATATTGAACACAACCAAATCCATGTATTATCTTGCTGAGAGCCATGGTGCCTTTGGTCATAAAAATTATCAAACATAATCGATTCTAAGAACAGAGGGCCAAATTACAGAATCCAGTGAAGAAACTCCAGTAACAAAGCAAAATCCCAAAAATGGAGAATGGTACCCTGATATATGAAGATGAAATATTTTACAAAATACAAATTCAACAAAAAGGAGCACAAGTATGAAAGTACTACATGGACCGGGAACGGAGCATTGCGTCATCACAGAGATCTTGGATTCGTGAACGTGAAGTCATTGATTGATGCACAATTGCCCGAGGTACAAGTATGTCAAGTTTCATGTCGATCGTACTTGAATAGACTTTTTTAAAAGGATGTCGCCCCCAACAAGAAAAACGACAAGATGAGTAGCACATGGGGACAAAGAACTGGTCCAAAAATCCTAAAATGAAGAGTTATACCCGGATATTTAAAGTTGAATTATTGTACAAAAACTATCAATCTGATTAAAGTACAGATCTATATTTCGATTCGGCTTTTTTATACTTTTGATGCCCTCCAATACAGGCAGATCTGATCAGTTGTAGTGGAAGGTCGCGTCAGGGTCATTCGAGCGGCTTTTGATCCTATGACGCCAGACATTAGATTAACCAATCAGCGTTGATGTTTCTAGTGGGATACCCACAGTTCCGAGCACCACACGCCAAGAACTGGCTCAACAGATCGTTTCATTGGCTAATCCCTCACATCAACCAGAACGCAGGTTATATAACAACTCTTCCAGATCTTAGTGTAGTAAAGACAAGTAAAACAAAATGTTGTGTATAAAAACGAAACGAAATAGGATATGTGTTTTAATCAGATTGAAAAACTATAAAGTAAAAATAATCAGCGCTTTAGTATTTCCAGTAATTGTTCAGCTGTTGGTCTCTGCATGGGATCAGAATGGGTACTCTTTCTCACCACCTCACGTAACTAAAAAATAATGATAAAATAAAATAGAAGTGGCATGAATAAAGTGGGTTTTAACGTCCTACTTTTTGGCACCAACAGACCTAATAAAGATGAACATATGCCGGATATCGTCGTTGCCGCTGTACTCGTCAAATTCCATTTGTCAGCCAGCAAGAGACCTCGTCTTTCGTCCCATCTGAACAACTAGACGCTGTTATATACCAAGCGCTCGTTCCCAGACAACTGACAAGGGGAAACTACGCTGAAAACCCCGAGGCATTTTCTTAGAAAACACAGGGATGGAACCTGCGATCTCCTGATTAGTGGGCCAGCGACTTACTCATTGGGCCAAAAGATAAAAAAAAAGTTTAATGGTGTATTATTAAAGCCTTGATACGAAAGAAAAGTTTTAGCAACCTGCAGAGAATCTTCTTCTCCATACTTAACAACCACTTAATATGATAATGTTATATCATATATTGGATAAGAAGAAAATCCGAGGACCGTCTACACACTTGCGTGCTCACAATGGAACCCTTTTGTAATATTTCTAACATTTCAACATTTGGAACTTAACGGATTAAACGTCTGTTTTCAGGTAAATGGATCATTTCAGCAAACAATACAAAGAACAAAGGGTGCATGAATACGGCATAGTTCATTCAAAATGTCGTCTACGCCACTTCAGCAAACCGCCCTTCTACATCGTGCAAGAAACCTGACGTGTCTTGTTATTTCTAACATCGCTGTTAGCCCACATCGACGCCAAAGGATTGTCTATGCCAGTGTTTTCGTATGTTATCTTTTAATAGCATGTATGTCTATTATGTTTTATTTATTGTATTACCTTAGATAATATCACTTCTTCTTCTGCGGCTTCCTCGGGAGTTTGACTTGCATCTTTCCCATGATGTACCATTTTTTCGTCGTCAGTTATGAAATCTGACTCTTTTACCCCTTTATCAAAACCCTCATTTAGTTCACCTGTGATAAACAATTGTAGTCTACAGTATATCGCTTGTACTTCACCTTTATTAAACAGCTGTACAGTATATTGCATATATATGAAATGAAATGAAATGGGGTTTAACGTCCTAACCTGGGCTAATGAAGACGGGCATACGCCATACAGTGTGCTATGAGGGAAATTTTGCCCGGGCAGCGGCACTATCGCCTACTCTTATATCGAATTCCAACTGCCAAGGGATCTTTTACGTGCATTCCAATGTATACACGGGACCTCGGTTTTTCGTCTCATCCGAAGGACTAGACAGCTGTCCTTGTCAGGCCCTCCGTCCTGCATCACTGACAAGGGGGAACCACGCCGGAAAATCTGGATGAACTTTCTCGGCCAATGCAGGGATCGAACACCCGACCTCCAATATTGCATGTACTACACTTTTATTAAACAGCTGTAAACGATGTTACATTTAACATCCATTCTATTATTTTAATAGTAAACCCAAGTACCACATTCCAAATCTTAAATAAGTAGCTTAAACCCGTTAGCCATTTACCTTATGATCGAAAATTTTAATAATTAGCTGAAGAGAAATGGGGAAAAGGTCTTAACATTTAGTTAAAGAAAATGATAAACACCGTTAACATTTGGCTAGATAAAATGATAAACACGGTGAACATTAAGCAAGATAAAAAGATTAACGGTCTCAACATTTAGTCCAAATAAAAAGATAAATAATGTTAACATGTAGCTAGATAACACGATAACAATGTCAACATTTAGAAATATATAATGATTAACAGTGTTAAAATATAGATATATTGATAAACGATGTTAACATTAAGCTAGATAACACGATAACAATGTCAACATTTAGAAATATATAATGATTAACAGTGTTAAAATATAGATATATTGATAAACGATGTTAACATTAAGCTAGATAACACGATAACAATGTCAACATTTAGAAATATATAATGATTAACAGTGTTAAAATATAGATATATTGATAAACGATGTTAACATTAAGCTAGATAACACGATAACAATGTCAACATTTAGAAATATATAATTATTAATAATGTTAAATTATAGATATATTGATAAACGATGTTAACATTTAGAATTTAGATATATTGATAAACAATGTTAACATTTTGCCAGATATAGCCTAGATAGAATTATTATAGTGTTAACATTTAGCCAGATAAATGATAAAAAAAAATGTTAACATTTAGCTATATATAATGATAAACAATGTTAATATTAAGCTAGATAGATTGATAAACAATGATAAACAATGTTAATATTTAGCCATATATAATGATAAACAATGTTAACATTTAGCTATATATATAATGATAAACAATGTTAACATTAAGCTAGATAGATAAAATGAAAAGCAGTGTTAAGATTTAGCAAGGAACATTGATAAACCGTGTTAACATTTAGTTAGATAGATTGATAAACAATGTTAAAAGGGCATTAGGTAAGTTTAAATACAGAGCTGACAGTTCTCGCTATAATAGTTAAAAACAGATAATGAAAACAGAATATGCTCAAAATTTCAGTCAAATTGCTTCACTCTGAACCTGAATATTAGCAATTCAGATTTAGGTTAGCCTCGATCGTTATTACTAAAGTTGGTACGAAAATAAACAAAGTCTCGATTATCCATTTTTATGTTAAATTATCCATCACAAAATATATTCAAATCCACTAAATATCACTAACGATGACATCGAGAGTTGATTATGGTCTGGATAAGTTAATTAATGTCTAATTAATAATTTAGATAACATTTCAGGCCTAAAGAAAGACAGATTCAGCTCTGGCACAATGCATGTTTAACATTTAGCCAATATAAAATGATAAAGTGTTATCATTTAGCTAGATATAATCATAAACAGTCTTATTAGCTAGATGAAAACGGGAAACAATGTTTAACATTGACCGTGATAAATTAAGAAACAAAGGTAACATTAGTGGTATTCGTTATGTATGATATACTGTCATTAATTTCCACTTACTATTCTCTCCATTATGTTTCAGTATAATGGACTTTCACTAACCTCAGGGCCAATATCTTGTACAATTTGTATTAGCTAGATAAAGTAAGCAATGCTGTCATATTTAAAAAGAGTTGGACGTCTGAAACGTACCATGTCTGCTTACAATTAACTGACACATTTGTTTCCTAAATCGACGATTTCAAACGAATTATATCAGGAATTTTGAGAAGTACTTATTCGGCATCTGTTTTCATATTTAATCAAATTGAAAATGTTTAAGTAGCATGCAAAGAAGTAAAATGGATTAGAACCGCATAACAAAATAGTGCACTACTTTTCAATATGGCGGCCATTTAGGGCAGAGATCAGTTCTCGAAGTAAATAGTTCTCGGTGTGCGGAATGAGAGTATGGGTGCTACACAAGAATAATTTCATTTAGAATTAATAAGATACAATTAATATCTCACAGGAGTGAAAACAAGGCAAAAAGTAGTAAATAATCAAAAAAGGTAAAAACCTTTGTATTTAAGTTCCACGTCTTCACTTAGAAAAGAAAAGCATGAGAATTTAAAACAATAACAATAGTTTCCAACAATCTCCAATTCCTAATTTTAATAAGTCATTCATAGTGAGATAAAATTTGAAACCAATTATTATATGACAATAAATTTAAATATAAATTCTAGAAGTTACGCTGATGTGAAATGGGACAATACTGATACGCTTATCTTATATGACGCAGACAGGGGTGTGCAGAGAGTGGGGACGAGGGGTGCGGGGGGGTGGGGGTATGGTCATCCAATCAGAGAATGAAATTTTTAAAAAAATTGTTTTCAAATTATCGCTGTTAATATTGGCATACAAGCTACCCAACTTAATTACTACGTCTGTTTTAACATATTTAAAATAACTTTCCCTTTTCACATATCTGAGTACAAGACGCTATGCGTTAGTATTTGAGGCATAGAAAGAAAGGGTTGGCACCAGGCATCACCAAACCTCTGAACGCCACTGGACGCACCAGGCACCACCAAACTCCGAACGCCACTGGACGCACCAGGCACCACCAAACCTCTGAACACCGCTGCACGCACCATTCACCACCAAACCTCTGAACGCCGCTGGACGCACCAGGCACCACCAAACCTCTGAACGCCACTGAACGCACCGGGCACCACCAAACCTCTGCATGCCACTGAACGCACCAGGTATCACAAACAAAAACCTCTGCGCGCCAGTGGACGCAGCCGAACTGTTATGCAGAATAGAAACAGAGCATACCGAACACTAAAATACCACACGGTGTGTATTAATTCAAAGGAAGAATTTATCGATTTGTTTTGGGTTTGTTTTTTGTTTTTGGAAAAATTAAACAATTTGTTACCATGTGTATTTTTATTAATCAAAGAAACAATAAATATTACTTATAATAACATATATTAAAAAATGTTCATACCTTTTTGTGACTTCTTCAATAATAACATCCTCCATTTTGTTTTCTGTAATAGAAATATATTCAATAAATCCCTTCATTAACCCGGTTGGTGCACAAACAGAACTTGAACTCATTTTGTTTTTAAAACTAATACATGGGCAAATTTCTCAGCCTTAAATAGCACGCGCGATAAATCATCGTATCTTAGTCTCAGAAGATGTCGACAATAAGATAAAGCCATATCAGCTGAAATTAAAACCAAAATGAAATGAAATGGTGAGTAACGTCCTACTTTTCTGCACTGACGGTTCTAATGAAGACGAGCTCACGCCATACAATGTGCTATTAGCGAAATTTTACGTGGAACCGTGCTTGAAAAGTCCGGTTAACTTTCTTGAACAACACCGGGATCGAACCCCAGACAGCCTAGTGAACCAGTGCCGTACTCATTGAGTCACCCCCGCTCCCCAATATAAAAATACAATTTGGCCTACCTGGAAGTAAAATGAGGTCTACCTGTTATTCCTGTATAGTAAATATATGTTACAGTTGCTATATATGAAGTGAATACTATTAGCCTATTAATAAATGATGAAAATACTAAATGTTGAACCTATTGTTCTGTCATAAACAAATGGCTTATCACGCGTTTAATCTGACACTATAAATATCGATGTGTTAATTTACACTAGAGATAGATAGAGAGAGAGAGAGAGAGAGAGAAAGAGAGAGAGAGATGGGGGGGAGGTAACGTCTACTCGACACAAACTAGGTTATTCGGGGCTAACACATCATTCAATTTTATTTCAATGTTTCGCTTGCGCGTAAGGGGCTTTAGCGGGGGCGGCGAAAACCCACAAGGTTGGACAGGCGACCCTACTCCTTGTCACGTAGACCCGCCAGTTGACTCAAGACAGACCACGTGCTACCCCCCCCCCCCATCCGGTTGTTGTATCAACATAATACATGTACGTCGCTCATTGTCAAAGGAACATATGATGATATTCATTATATTTCTATGGTTATCTGGGCAATGTAAAGTAGAAACATTGGACTCGGAGAGCGACATTTCAGCTTATAATTTCGTCGATGTAAATATCGCGGTTCGCTCTTTAACGTGCACAAGAACGTGTAGACAGACGGTGCTCGGATGTTCATAGCATCTGAACGATTAGGCATACGACTGGGAAATACCCATTCTCTACACAGAGGACTAATTACTACGAGAACAGATCTCTGTCCTCCTTAGTGTTTCCGATTAAATTCGTCGATTTGTGAATTAAAATGTCGGTCATTTAGCTTAGTGTCTGTTCTCAAGCGTAAATTGAGTATGGGAAACACTTAGTTAAATAACACGCATAAATTTTACTGTGTACATTTTGTCATTAACTACAACAATAGGTGGGTCATAAAGAGATGAATTAATGTCACGTGTCTTCTCAGGGACGGATTAAGGGATCGGCCGCAGGAGGCGGATCGTTTCTAAGGGCCCCAGTGACGGGGGTTCGAATTTCCTCCCAAAGAAAATTTTGCAAATTACATCGCCGTAGATGAGATTTAGACCACTTTCGTGTTGATTTAGATAAAATCTGGAACCAATGACTTAGTCGCCCAAATCTAGCGAAAACAAATGAAGTTGGGTAAAACATTGTGCTTATCTCCACCAACTAATTTAATGAAGACGGGCATATACCATGCAATTTGCTATGATGGGCTTTTTTGCCCAGACGGGGCCGTTTACGTCTATTCTTCTTCGAAATTGGTTAGGAGCAGAACAGTAGGACGTGTACATATTGGCGTGCACGTAAAAGATCCCTTGGCAGTTGGAATTCGATATAAGAGTAGGCCGTAGCGCCGCTGCCCGGGCAAAATTTCCCTCATAACACACTGTATGGCGTATGCCCGTCTTCATTAGCCCAGTTTAGGAGCAAAACAGTAGGACGTTAAACCCCATTTCATTTCATTTCATTTCTGGCGCCGATGTTCCGGTAAAATTGCAGTATAGCACACTTCATTAGCCAGATTGGTGGATTTTAAACTCCGTGTTATGGACATCTTTGTTGTACTATATAGCACCTGACATGTTCCGTATGCTAGAGATAAAACTCAGATTTTAAATAGAATATGGGAATTCTCGAAGCTTATTCACAGCATACTTGTATTTGGCACGGTTTTCTTAAACTCATTACTGATACTGATTTATAAACATAGTTTCAATAAGGATAGAGGATTCCAATTTAAAAATCGTTCTACAATGATTATTCACCCACTCCACGGAAACAAAATTGACAAAGTGAACAGTTATTTCAATTGTAAATTTTAATTGTTGTTAACCGTGTAAAAATAAACATTTTTGAAAATATTACCTGTAGCCCTGGGGCCGACAAAATCTTAATCCAGATGTGATAGTGAAGTGCATATTGAAATGAAATGAAATGGAGTTTAACGTCCTACCTGCTCCGACTTGCGGAGGGGAGTGTGTGTGTGTGGGGGGGGGGGGGGTAGACGCTAACGAATATCCCAACACCGTATTCAGCGTCCGGTGCGTTGAAAAATGGGTAACCAAAAACAACAGAGAACTTAGATTATGTTAATAAATGGTAAGTCACGCATGGCTCTTAACTTGTGTACCTTTCTTCAAGACACTGACACAAGGGGACTTGCCATGAAGTCAAAGCGACCATTTTGAATGATTCGGGGGCCTTTTCCTTGTAGCCTACTACCCCCAATGGGTTCTGGGGGTTCTACCGAACTCGCGGGTCCTGTCCGAGCAGAGAACTCATATCAAATTTTCTCCCAGGATTCGGTGTTTTATTTTTGGAGATTTCACAACATTTTTGTTCGTGCCTGAGGCGCCTTAAATATAATCCGCTACCGTGTCCTCTGTTGCCCAGTTTAATAACTAATATAACTCTCTGGACATTAAGACTGTTGAGCGATGTGTAAATTATTAATGGTGATGAATTGATTATTTTTATATATTGACCGGGTTATAGTCATTCATAATACATGAAATATAATACCATTTGTATACAGATAATACACTGAACACATTTTTATATTTACAACCCATTAAGTCTTTATTTTAATGGAATGGAAAACATTAAGGGTTTTTTTCACAAATGGAATAGTATGCATTAACGTTTTTATACCGTTTTCAGATTTAGGTTAAGAATTTACTGAACTTTCAATCACTGTTTATGAGAAATATCTTTGATCCAGTAACACACATATTTGCACATAGTTTCTTATTGATTTATTTGATACATTAAAACAACAAAAGTCTTATAATGGGCTATATTTTAGTTAAAATAAGGCCATTAATTTTGAGTAATTTCTTAACTGAAGCTTGAGAATACTTTGTGAACTAGGGGCCAGATTAATGATTTTGAGTAAATTCTTAATTTAAGTCCGAGAATACTTGGTGAAAATGGGGCCAGATTAATGAACCAGCAGCTTCCCTACTGAGCCACCGCAGCTCTGTGTTAAAAAGGCGACAGCTGATGATGATTAGAAAATGTTGCACATGTTTGGGCGTTCCCCATCTTCAATAGAAGACTTGATCTCTCTTATACTACGTTCATCTTATCACAGTCGTTGCTTCAGGAACATGGGCGTTCCCAGTGTTTAATAAAAAAAATTCGTACAAAATACCCTGCAATCTAGTTGAAGGATCATTTCCCTCATAACACACTACATGGTGTTAACCTGTTTTCATTTGCCCGATTTGCTCGGTTCCATTTGTACAAAAAAGTATGCCATTTAATTTTATTAAACGCTCTTCCATTTCATTTCCACTATACTGTCCACTCCCCCCCCCCCCAAACACACACACACACACACACACACCCCAATCTTTAAAGTGTTATTGATGCAATTGTGTTCATCAACCCATATAATAATTAAAGATCTGTCAGTAACAGACAATAACTGTATTGTGTCCTGTGTATGAAACCGAAAGAGGTTTAATGTGCTCCTTCTCTGCATCAACTGGAGTAGCGCATACAGCGTGTAGGCTAGTGTACGTGCTATGACGTGGAAATGGTTTCAACCTACTGTTTATCAAATTCCAATCTTTCCAGCTTAATTACTAAATACCATAGTACATGTATTTCATAGTGAGACTATTTTTGCTGATTTTCTGGTATGGAATCGATAAATTTGTTTATTTTTGGCAAGAGTTGGTGAATAGACATGACTATAATGATGCTAAATGGCCAGATGATAACAGGGACCCTCCCCGCAAAATAAAAGTTTTACTTATAGATTTAATTTGCCGTAGTCAAAGAAACACCAAACAGGGTAGTCAACCACCTTCAAGATTTTGATGAAATAATTGTGACATATGGACTTCTTGTGGATATAAAGATAATAATCCCCTAAATATTTATAAAAGAAGTACGGTGTTTTGGGCAGAGACAAGGCATACAAATAACAATAAAAAGTCAATAGTGAAAATCAACTGGCCTAATCACCACCTCCTCAAACATGAGTTATCTCCCTTTAACTATCAACACGTAAAAGAATTAATTTTTTAAAATTATTTATTCACTAAATTATGTAATATATATATTGCTTTGAATGAAAAAATCCAATTCATCACTTTATCTTCACCTTAAACTGGGTTAAAATCTAGGAGTATGCTACTCTGTATGAATTAGGTTTGGGTCTCTCTCAGCTACCCCCCACCCCACCCCTTAATCAGGCACTATGTAGTTAGATGTTGAGAGAGAGAAATGGGGTTTAACATCCACTCGACACAGACTATGTCATTTCGGGACTAACATATGATTTAATTTTATTTCAAAAATTCGCTTCGTATGGGTCTTTAGCAGTGGGAGGAAACCGGAGGACCCTGAGAAAACCCACAAGGTTGAACAGGCGACCCTACTCCTTGTCACCGGGGATTCAAAACCATGCCAGTTGACTCAATGACAGGCCTTATGATACAGCGTGCACGTGCTATCCATTCGGCCATCCAACCCCTCAGTAATATATCCAAGTCCGAATTCATTGTCAATATATTATGTAAATTTCATAAAGTCTTGGTATATATATACTACAGTACACTGTGAATCATTTTAAAATTAAAATATGTCTATAAAATACATTGCCTCATTTTTTTTTCAGTATCAAAAACCAAACTTAGATCAGAATAAAAAGAAACAGAGTTTAACTCTTTAACACATGGTGGATGTAAATATTGATTACTCCAGTTCATTGAAGAAAATTAAATACAGGTACATCCCTGTATTAATATAGGACCATTTACTAGTTCATACGCGTGCCACAGGAGCCCTAGTTAGGGCAGTATGGGCAGGTCTAAGGAGCCCTAGGTAGGGCAGTGTGGGACAATCTAAGGAGTCCTGGTTAGGGCAGTGTGGGGCGGTCTAAGGAGCAGTATGGGATGGTCTAAGGAGCCCTAGTTAGGGCAGTGTGGGTCCGTCTAAGGAGCCCTAGTTAGGGTGGTATCAGTGCTACAGGGTCAACATCTCCTATTCAGATGCAATCTTTTACAAGGGTATTCTGCAACCCCTTTTATTGTACTTGTAGTACGGAGTTACATGTAATTCATCACTCACAGTCTAGGAGTTTATCTTGTCAAAACAGTACTTCAGTTGATATAAGAATAGTAATTTTCATTTCTGTGGTTAAATATGCAAGTGGGAGAATTTTACCCAGCCAGCTGTATATCAGTTTATACTCCTTCAACATTGAACTGTCAATAGGTCTGAATTTCAACCTATGAGATCTACAGACTCTGAGGTGAAACATATTGTTTGATTAGTCCCTAGTGGATCTAAACTTATTTTCATCATCACAATTTGTCCAGCAATAACACAAAATCATTTAAGGTTTTAACAATATGCTCTGGGTTAACTTTCGGTAATAATGTCTCTTGCGATACAACGTACGACCTCCAGCCTGCGTTTCTCGCCCCGAAATAGTCTTTCTCAATATTATCACCAACGTGGACAGCATCTTGTGCTTCCACTCCAGCGATCTCCAGAGCTTTTTGGAAAATTTTAACATCAGGTTTTTCGAAACCAGCTTTAGTTGAGGTGAGGATGAAATCAAACTGATGGCTAATTGCAACATTTTTTAAAATTTTTTCCAAGCGTTCGTCAAAGTTTGATATAACCCCCATTTTAACGTCTTGAGAACGAAGCGCCATTAAACCAGTATCCACACCTGGAAGTTTTTCCCAGCATGCAGCAGAGGTAAAATGAAGATAAAGGTGATTGGCAATTTGCGTTAAAGTCTCCTCGTCATTGGTGAATCCCACGCTACGAAAACTATCTCGGACTAAATTCGTCCACCATTTATATGGAGACATATTAACAGACACTCCGAAATTCGGATATTTCTGTGAATATATGTCATAGTGGTGTTTGTGTGCCTTATTCATCTCTTCCTCTGTGGCTTCGATTCCATACATGTTGCCGATCTTCACATAATGTCGTCCGACAGAAGACGAAACTCGACATAACGTGTTGTTGACATCAAACGTGACCAATCGAATGACTCGAGCCATTTATCTATAAAATAAAATATTATAGGATACTGATAAAAAATGAAAAGAAAATGAAATGTACCAACCAGGCTAAATAAGTTCAATCAAAGGGCGGCGTTGGTAAAATGGAAAATCTTCGGCCGAGGCTCAGATTATAAATGCCTAAAAATTATTATGTTCATATTCATGTAAGAGAGGTAATCAAATTCTGACTGTGCCCCCAGAACGACTAATGTAAGGCAATCTAGACATCAGCATCTTCTAATCAAATACTAGCCACGGTTGCTTGGTGTGTGTGAACGTCCGCTTCCACCGAGGTGATATCGCAGACAAATTGGGTTGCTCGGTGAGTAAGGCACTCATTTATAACCAGTCGATCCAGAGTATGATTCCATTGTTGGCCATGGATTAATCTTGTCAGTGGTACAGGATAACAGGCCTGGCAAGGAACCTTGTCTTCAGATGGGACAAAAAATCTTTCACTTCAGGGGTCCTGTGCACATTGCATGGCGTAGATGATTATTATCAAATTATCCCCCAATTCTAACCAAATGGAAAATATATGGTGGGAAAGGAACTTGGGTGGATATAATAGACAGTTTGGGTTGTAGGATGAATTTAAGAGTTCACAGATAAGTGCATTCCATCTGTTTCTCAAAACTAAAATCTTCAAACAGAAGTTGAAAAGCAAAGAACTCGTCTCAATGTCAAGAAAGTGAAAGTAGTGTCCCATTATACGATTCATTCTCGGTCCTCAAAACACATGCCAACACCGCCATTCTCCGCAAGATACGATTTTACAACCAAACGATCAAAAAATATATAAACATACCTTTCCTAGGCCTAACACCTGTCGTAAAAAGGACACTATTGTACTTTTTTTTATCGGCAATAATAAAAATGTAAACAAGCAGTGGCTGTCCTTTTTACCTCTTACATAGAAGAGCAGCCTAGATATCGTAGTCGGATATATCCAGACGCTAAGTTGTCACCTAAATTCTCAGGTAATCCCCCAAACCCAAGGTCAAACCAGGTCCAATTACCCCTAAGTACCACTAGAATTTCCAGTCAACAAACTCGGTCGATGGTTGGGCTAAAATTTGGGAATAGTTTGTTTGACTGAAATAAAAAACGCACTAACTCAAATATGATTACATCGTTTTTGTCTATTTTGATTATTTTCCCCCAAGTTCAAATCTGACAGTTGAAGTCACAACTTTATTGAGATTTTCCTTCCAATAGCAATCCCTAAACAACGTGTTGACCTCTCTTTGCGAGTAAGGTCGTCATCTAGGGTTAAGGGTCAACGACTGACGTCATCAACTGAAAACAATGGCTATACTAATATAACCAACTTGAATTAAGTCTGTGTCCGATGCATAAAACTGATGACAGCATAGTATCTAGTCGCTTCGGAATAAAAACAACCGTGTGGAGGGATTTATAGAGGAGTAGGCTACATGTTGTTATCTTAGTTACTGCCACCACTGCTTAATAAAGTCAAGCTTTACGTTTTTCCTCGTCATATTGAGCGACTGGATTATTCGACTGAATTATCTGCTTGATTTTTTTTTTCGACCGGAATATTTGACTGTTTTTTCGTCTATCCCCGGCCCTAAATACCTAATTATCAGACTACTTTTGCCCCATAAATCGAACTTGAAACTATTTGGCAGGGGAGGGAGGTGCAAGCCCCCGGCTCTTTTACAGCTATGGCTATGGGTATGACTGAACTACTCGGTATTATCTTAGTTCACTGCAATTCCTGCATATTATTGAGCGACTGTTTTTAACTTCTCATCATCATATAACTGTCAAAAGCACATTTTGTCAACTTGAGCTGGTATGAAGACCCAACTTGATCTGGGATGTGGATTTATCGACAGTGATATTCGACTGGTTTTATTGACTGAGATATTCGACTTCTTTTATTGACTGTGATATTCGACTGGTTTTATCATGGTATTATAAGGTCCATGGTTTTATCGACTGAGGTATTTGACTTGTTTTATCCACTGAGATATTCGACTTATTTTATCGACTGAGATATTCGACTTATTTTATCGAACTGGTTTTATCGACTGAATTATTTGACTGGTTTTATTGACTGAGATATTTGACTGGCTTTATCGTCTGGATGAGGCCACAAGAAAATAGTTTTATTGACTGGGATTTTTGACTTTTTTCGACGATAAAATCAGTCAAATAATTCAGTTGACAGAATCAGTCGAATAATTCAGTCAACAAAACCAGTCAAATAATCCAGTTGAAAAAAAACAGTCAAATAATCTAGTCAATAAAACCAGTTGAATAATCCTGGCGAAAAAACAGTCAAATATCCCAGTCGATAAAAACAGTCGCTCAATATTAAGTACCGGTGGCAGTGAGCTAAGGTAATACAGAATAGCCCAATCATGGTCGTAGCCAGGGGCTTCACCCCCCGCCCCTCCCAACTACTTTAAAGTCAGATTTTTCGGGCAAAAGTAGTCTTATGATCTAGGTATTTAGTTGATACATGTACTTAACTGGAGAGTAATGTTTTTGGCCCGTCATCTAAGTGAATAGAATCCTACATAGGCCTGTAGTCAGGGGCTGGGGGTATTGGACGATTCAGGGTTTTTTTTGTGACCTCGTCAAGTCGAATATTTCAGTGTATATTTCAGTCGAAAAAAAGCAGTCGCTTGACTTGATGGTGGAGGACCATACTTTATGAAGTACTAATTGGAGTGAACTAAGATAACAATAAGTAGCCTGGAGCCACGGTGGCTAAGTGAGTAAGACACTGGCTCGCTAGCCTGGAGGTTTGTTCCTGGTATTGGCCGAAAAAGTTCCTCATGATTTTCCGGGTGGTTTCCCCCTGTCAGTGGGGCAGTCGTTTGGATGGGATGAAAAACCAAGGTCCCATGTACACATTGGCATGCATGTAAAGAATCCCCTGTATGGCATATGCCTGACTTTATTAGCTCAGTCGGTGCACAACAGTAGGACGTTAAAGCCCATTTTATTTCATTGAGTAGCCCTTTCATGCTCATAACACGGTTCCACTTTCAGGGAATGTATCTGGTCGAGTGTGTTCTCTAAGTATCGGAAATGAATACAGATTTTTCGAATAGATCTTCAACACTTTATTTCAAGAGCAAATAAATAACAGCAACAAGTAAACAACTTATAACTTCCTATAAATTGGTCCTCCAACTGGTATATAGGTTCCCTCAGCTGGTCTCTCCAACTATAATTCATCTTACATACATTTTTCTTTTTATATAAATTAGTTACTATGAAAGTATTGACATAAACATATAATTATTGAAGGATTAAGTCATTTAAACAATAGTAAAAGAAACTTAACAGACCACCCACTTTAGTTATTTAAATCGACTGACAAATTAATTGCTGTCTGCTTCTAATGACTAACCAAGTGAACCAAGATCAATAAGTAGCCTGGAACAACAGTGGCTAAGTGAGTAAGGCACTGGTTCGCTAGCCTAGAGGTCGCTGGTTCATTCTCAGTATTGGCGGAGACAGTTCCTCAGGATTTTATCCAGGTGGTTTCCCCTTGTCCGTAGGGCAGGACGGAGGGTGTGACAAAAACTACAGCTGTCTAGTCTTTCGGATGGCATGAAAAACCAAGGTCCCATGTACACATTGGCGTGCATGTAAAAGATCCCTTGGCAGTTGGAATTCAATACTATTCAAAAAAAGTAGGGGATATTTGATTTTTAAGTGTTATTAAAGTCACCTAATGAAACTGACGAAGAAACAAATGACAAAATGAAATGAAGTTCACATTCATCGATTTATTCCAAATGATCGTTAGACTAAGTAAGGCACAGACTGACCATTATAAGGGTAAAATGATACCCGGGGTCAAACAGCAAAGTTAATACCACAGCATCACAACCAAGTCAGTAACGGGTAAATCCTCCTCTGTTTGCCAAACAAGCATTGATCCGACGTGGCATACTCCTAATGAGACGTCTAAGGTCATTTTGGTCCAGATTGTCCCATTCCTGTTGCAACGCAGCAGCAAGTTCTTGGACATTGGCAGGACGTTGTTGACGTTGACGTAACCTCTGTCCAAGCATGTCCCAGACATGCGCGATGGGGGAGAGGTCGGGACTCAGTGCTGGCCAAGGTAATGTGGTGATGTTCTGTTGTTGGAGGTAACCTGTAACGATCCTGGCCCTGTGACATCTTGCGTTGTCATCCTGGAAGATGAAACGGCGGCCATGACGTCGTGCGAACGGCACAACATGGACTGCCAAGATGTTGTCCCGGTAGTACTGGCCTGTAACACGCCCTGCAACAACATGTAAAGCCGTTCTTCTAGCAACAGTGATGCCTACCCACACCATAACAGAACCACCCCCAAATCGATCATGTCTGATGACGTTAACGTCTTGGAAGCGCTCGTTTCGACGACGCCACACCCTCCTACGTCTGTCCAAAAAATCAACAGTGAACCTTGACTCATCTGAAAACATCACATTGCTCCAGCGTCGATTATCCCAGTGTTGACGATCCCTACACCAACGACGTCTTGCCTGAATGTGATGATCTCTCAAACAAGGGATCACGCGAGGACGTCGGGCGCGAAGGTGACCCCTATGCAGTCGATTCCGAATCGTCTGGCCACTCACTCTCACACCAGTGTCTGTTTGAAGACGAGCGCTGATCTGATTTGCTGTGATGACACGATTTCTCAAGGCCAAGGTACGGATAATCGATCCTGGGCTTGAGTTGTCGACCTTGGTCGACCTGAGCGTGGTCTGTCCTGTACAGATTGTGTATCACGGTATCTGGACCATAGCCTGCTTATGACAGACTGAGAAACATTCATCGTCCGCGCCACAACCGCCTGTGTTGTGCCGATCTGTAGCATGCCAAGGGCACGTAACCTTTCATTTTGGGTAAGCCGACGCATATCAAAATTTGTTTTCTGGTCACTAAAACAATTAAACTGATGTTTCCACCCTGGAATTCAATGCCACAATGACTGTAACATTCAAAGTCAGAGTCGTGCAAATCTTGGGTTGGACCCCCATGATGATCCCAAGCATCACCTGCATTCCATGCGGTAGCTATTGGTGCGTTTGGGCGTCACATGTAACTGGAAATGTTTCTTCTGTTAGGTTCTATAGTGACTTTTTTCGTAGTCATTTGCATATTTTAGTATTATGCCCCCAAAATCAAATATCCCCTACTTTTTTTGAATAGTATATAAGAGTAGGCTGTAGTGCTACTGTCGGGGCAAAATTTCCCTTGTAGCACACTGTATGGCATATGCCCATCTTCATTAGCCTAGTCGGTGCACAACAGAAGGATGTTAAACCCAAGTTCACTTCATTATGTAGCGGGAGTGATTAAGTGGGTAAGACGCCGGCTCGCTAGTCTGGAGGTTACATGTAGGTGTTCGATCCCTGCATCGCCCGAAAGAGTTCATCCAGATTTTCCAGTGTGATTCCCCTTTGTCAGTGATGCAGGACAGAGGGCCTGACAAGGTTAGCTCTGTAGTCATTCGGATGGGATGACAAAACGAGGTCCTGTGTACACATTGGAATAAACGTAAAAGATTCCTTGACAGGTGGAATTCGATATAAGAGTAGGCTGTAGTGCACTGTCCAGACAAAATTTCCCTCATGACACACTGTATGGCGTATACCCGTCTTCATTAGCCCAAATCTGTGATCTTGAGTCTTGACTACTGGTGCATTTGGCACTAAAACCTGAAATATCTCGCATGGCTGCAACCTTTATCATGGCAATTGACAGGATGAAACCATTAACACAGGGTTATTAAAAACAGATACATCGTTAGTATCCCGAACAATTTGAACACCCGCATCCTTTTTACTGGAGGTCACAGAAACCTGTACTTTTTGGGCACCCTTCTTTGCAAAAAATTCCAGCTGTCGCTGTCTATCCCTTTGTATTTGGGCAAAAGAACGATATTTCTTTTCCGGACTGGGTAATTAATTTTCTGAGAAGTCCCTTTTAAAGCCCATTTAAACCCCTGTTTGAGACTCCAAGACAGATAGTTGATCAAGATTTCTTATTGCTGCTACTGCTGCTGAAGGAAGAATAAAGTTGATATTCATCC